ATCGCAGTAGAGAGCTTTGTACATATAAATTATTGTTGTTCGGTGATTTAAAATATTTGCTACACTTTTTTCTTTGGATCTTTTTTGCTTAGAATTGAAGTTCCAAAAATGGTTTTATATTCATTTATTTGAAAAGTAAATTTCTTCATTTTAATCATCTTAATCTTTATTTTCTAGAGTAATTATATATATATATATATATATTTTAAATAATATAATGCTAACTGTTATTGACGATAGCCGTCTCGAGTAATTGAGTAATTTTTGAGTCATTATTTAAACATCCCTCATTTGCTAATCTGATTAGATCTCATTTCTGCTCCTAAGATTTTTTTTGTTTTCACCAAGTCTACTTCTTTTTCTCTTTATAATTTTTGCCTATACATACAAATATTTGAGCAGTTGTAATAAATATTTATCGAGGTCAAACTTTCAATACATGTTTTTGATAAACGTATATTGAAAGTTTGACAATCGAATTTTGCAATATTGCATCGCTGACACAGCATACTTTCTTCAATTTTTAACTGGTCGAAATTCTTTTGTTTCAAATTAAAAAAATCCAGACACAAAAATATTTCATACTAACATCCTCAACTATTAATACAAATTATACGTGTAGCAAATTGTGGTTGAAATGATACGAAGTGTCATATAAAGCTTAAATCTTGAGAAATTTTCTTACTACCGGATAATCTGAATATTACATTTGGAGAGTTTCTAAACATTATTATCAAATTATATTTAATATTTAAGTATTTATAATGTGAGATTGAAACCGAGCGATAGAGTTAGTCCACTTAAAGTAAGATTCTGAATTGATAGGAGCAATGATAGCGCTAGGCAAGCATTCGATTATTAATACGTGACAGTAAGTGTGAAGATATATTTAATAATGTCAACAAAAAATGGAGGTCAATAGAAAAAGTTGACCTTAACATTTCCGTCGGTTTTAACAAATGGCATCCGCAATATAACATTCAAAGTAGTAAGCAATTAGAAATTAGACACTTAATTGTATTTCATTTCTCTCATTTATTTGCTTTTTTGTCATTTCCATCATTTTGAATAAATCACTGATCATATTGAATAAGAAAGTTCTATTCAAAATTATAATAGTATAACTTTGTAAATAAGGGATCTTAAAATTCCCAATTGTTAAAACATAATTTGAAGCTTTTTCGAGATGTACAGAAAATAAATACTATTATTAAAAGAGAGATATTAAAAGTTATTTGTACCGTAAGATACACATTTGATATTCTCAGTGTTCAAATATTGCAATGATTAAGTTTTCGAAAATAAAACAAAGCAAAAACTGTGTGTTTAAAATTTTTTGATTTGCAGATAGTTTGAAAAAATAAATTTTTAAATTTCACAAGTCAAAGATTTTCATCAAACAGATTTTAATAGAAAGAACCTTGATTATTATAGGAAGGTATCATTTGTGACAGTGAGCTATTTTGAAGTTGAAGGAGAATGCATATATGCTGCGACATTATGCATCAGCAAGAAAATATTTTGACGAAAACAATATTTGAAAATTTTTGAATAATTTGAATTAATAGTCATATAAAAAACACTGCGTACACCACTAATAACTTATGACAAATAATTTTCATTTGTTTACTAAATTGAAATCTGCTCAATGAACAAAAAGTATCATTTTCAGCGATCACAATATCAAAACACTCTGTGAAGCCGCGAATACATTATCAATAAAATTTTGGTATTCAATGTGATGAAAAAGCTTAAACATGAATGAAATGAAAATGTTATCTGCTTTTATACCGAATTTTTTTTATCGGAATAATTTCCGTATGACATTTTTGAATTTGAGATTCAAACATTTCTTGCTATACCATATTTATTAATTTCTAATGTTCGCTACCGGAATTCTTGATTGCAAAAACTGTAATATCAGTTCATTAAAATTACACAAGTCTTCAATTTCGTTAAATGATTTTCGTTTCAAGAGTCTGTGAAGGTTTTGTCGCTATTCGGGAATTTCCGACTGTCATTTTGCTTAATGCTTCCACGAATTCAGTCTTTCTATTTCCAAATGATAAGAACACATAGATGATGAATATTCAAGCTTTCATGGAATAGATAGGTTTAATTACCTAAATTTAAAATTTTTATTTACACTAATCAGAAACTAAAAACTGTTGAATTATTCCAGTGAAACGTTTAAAAAATTTTTGTTTAAAAGTTTGCAGTGTGGAAATGTTCTGAAGCCATAAGTTACTACAATCAAAGATTGCAATAAAAAGTTGCAATTGTATGGAGGGTTTTGATTTGTTTAATTAATAATATTGGGAGAGGCGTTTGATCGCAGGGAGATTGGTTGGATGTAAATGTAAATGCGTGAGGTAACAGAAATATAATCCAAGTTCTTTATTAGCAGAAGTAATAGGACAAAACGTTGATAGAGAACAATTGAAATTGGAATCGTCGGTCCTTGGCGATAAATTACACATATCCCAATCTTTTAACAAGGGTGATCCTTATATAGCAATTATCTTATATTATATATGTTAAAATATGGGATTAGTTTATAATTAGACATTTTTATACAAATGATGATAGTAAGTAACTTTAACAATAGGTTTAAAAATGCATATCACGATGAATTAAATGGATATCACGAAAGAAAGTACAATGGTTTGTCCAGACATTATGATAAGTGGCTACTATGAGTTGCAATAGACATTACATGATAGATGCTCATAGTATATGAATTGATATAAGATCAAAAGTTAATTGAATTGTAAAGACATCAATGGATTGCTATATTAAGTATTGTTAACATTTATTTAGTGCTTTGCGATGTTTAAATCCACGACAGAGGTCCAGTTCGTAACCTTTTGCCATTTAGTTCAGTTTTAATTCCTGTGAGGTCTAATAATCAAATGGTTCTACCAATAAATTTCTTAAATATTATGAAGTGAAAATAACCAAAATATACCGAAAAAATTTTTTTAAAGCTTCAAACATAACTACGACAGTGAATTTCAAGCATAACTACGCAATGAAACAAAGTGAAATAATGCATAAACTAATTAACTTTGATTGGAAAAAAAAACTACGGAAATACAGATATTTATTATGTAAAATATGTTTTTTCTTTTAATTCTTTTTCTAAAAAAAAAAAAATATTTTTGTGAATTTAGCTATCAGATTCGCTTACCTATAATATTTTTTTGTATCATACAAAAAATATCCTTTTCTGAACTGTAAAGAGCATATCATCCCGCGTGTAAAAATAGATTGAATAAATTTTGAACTGATATTAAATAAGCAATTAAATTATGCAGATTAGAAAAATGAATGAGAAAATATCATCGTTAGTGAACTTTCTGCTTACTTTTAATAATTGTTGCCAGCTTATTTGATTATTATTTGATCTTATGATATTAGTTATGAGATCTAATATCTTCATTTCTCGAACTAAATTCAGATTCACGAGAATTTTTTCAGGACAGATAAATAAAAATCATTTTTTAAAAACAATTTCATTACGGATCGCATTTTGGTAACTCATAAGAATCTGAAAACTTCAGAAATAGTTTCAGTTTGCAATAAAATCTGTCATATTTGAAAACAAAGTAAATATGATTAGCGGAGGAAACACTTCAAATGCAACCGATAGCAAATATTCAAAAATTGTCCAATAACTCTGTTTAATTTTTGTTTTCTTTTCTCATAAATTATTAAAAAGGTTTATGTAAATTTTTGGAAAAAGCATCTCTCAAGACAAAATTGATCGTAACAAACTGACATTATTTGTGCATACACTGAAACATTCGTATTCGTTCTTCATTGGAAATAATTGATGCTATTTTTATGAGTACTACTATCAGTATTAATTAAAAAAACTGATCACAATAATCACTATACGACAAATAACAAATTCCTATTCAGCACAAATTATTCCAATGCCGGTTTTTGAGCCAGTAATTCTGTTTGTGAATATCTTTAGCAATTTGTCGTCATTCATTTAGCTCAGAAATTTCGCAAAATCGTATGAGCACCAACAAAAATAGCTAAAAATTTAATATGATTTAAATCTTTGTGTTATTTTAAGCTCTATCGAAAGTCTTATTAATTTGAAAATGAAATATTATATAAGGCACGACGTATGAGATAGAATATTATGGTAATTCGGGTATTTGCCATCTTTCGAAAAATCCAATTTCAATTTAGTAAACGATTGAAAATGTCAACAAAATGCACAAATAATTTTATTTATCTGTCATAAGTTATTAGTGGTGTACGCAGTGTTTTTTATATGACTATTACTTCAAATTATTCAAAAATTTCAAAATATTGTTTTCGTCAAAACATTTTTTTGATGATGCATAATGTCGCAGCATATATGCATTCTCCTTCAACTTCAAAATAGCTCACTGTCACAAATGATACCTTCCATAATCGTTTTTAATATTTTATACCAAATTATATGAAATTTTTTGACTCAAACCTACCTATCAACAATTAATGAAACTTTTTAAATTTTGCCTATTGAATCCAGTTTATTTCATTGCGGCTTACAAGATTCGAAACATTTTATCAGTAATTATGATAGTGAAGGTTAAAATTCAATTCAAAAGTTTTCTGATAAGCTTGAAATTTTGGTCTAACTGACTGTCGATATATAGTAAAAATAACTTAATTGAGATCTCCGATAATAAAGTCAAAGTGGAATAGGAACTTAAAACATTGATGTTTGAATTTTATCTATTCATTTATGTTTTCAGGAGTGATCGAAGGCTATCACTCATATTTGGGAATTTTGAAAAATGAGAAAAATCTTTCACTTTTTGCTACTTTCTACCCTTTGTTTATTTCCTATAGAAGGTACGTCGCTTAATACAACTTCTGCAATTAAATTTTGATTTTTTTCTTCCCATCTGATTAATTTAATCTTACTGATTTAACATAATTTAGGAGAAAAAAATGATGACAGTTACGATGAAACTTGCAAAAGTTTGGGTATTATGATGGATATTTCTAAGCCAATAACTGATTCAATAACAAAAAATTTTGCTACTTTCAAGAACAGCGATTTGTTATCTATGCGCAAGTTGGTTTATTTTATATTCAATTTCTTTGAAAATATGTACATTTTTTCAGTGAAAATAAACCATCAATTTACTATCAATTTTCTTATCATCAAATTATTTCATTAAAGTGTTTGCAAATACTTTCGAAAGAGTGCAAACGAAGTGTTGAATGAACGGATTAAACCTTTGGTCATCGTAAATGGTACAATAAGAAATGCAGCTAATCAGAAGATCTTTTCACTTTATAAACAGCAACTAAATACTATCTCTGCTAGCGACGATGAATTTAAAAATTTTTCAATGGTTAGTTTTTATTTTTGAAATTTACACACAAGAAATTCGACCAGAGTGATATTTTTGCTAAAATTTGCTTCTTTCTATTAAGATATGTTTGACAAAAACTTCTAATTTATAAAAAAATTAGAAGTTTAATTTTTCATCTTTTTTTAACTCAAAAAAAAAATTTATGAAAAAAAATTAGAAGTTTAATTTTTTTAAATCAAAAAAAAAGCAGTTTTTACTTTGTTTTCTTTCAGAAAATCTCAGATATTTGAATACTATGCTTACCGCTTAAAAAATTCAAAAAAAAAAAGATAAATTAAAGTGAATTACAGACTTAGCATATTTCAGCTTCAAAAATGGCATGCTGAAAATGGTTTATTATTTGATGATTATAATGATCTCACACCACTAAAACGTAGACTATCTGGCCCAATGTATTTGAGGATTGCACCATTTGGCAATAGTATGATAATTGATCATGAACTATCACTTTGTAAGTAATTTTAATAAATTTTGATATTACCTATTGAAATAATCTTACAATTATTAATCTCAATTCAATCTAATTAAAACCATATCAAATAAAATATGAATTTTGTCCGGATTGTTTCAGATTCAGGTAGTAAATTAAGCAATGGTCATCCTCGAAGTGCTATAATTTTTCCAAAAATGCCTCATGCATCTATTAGCATGAAAGTTTTTGCTGGCAGGTAAGTTGCATATTGTGCTAAGGTGAGCTTAAATTTTCTTTTGTATCCTTCATTATCTCTGCATAATAGTGGTAGTAGGAGTAATAGTAAAACAGATGATTTATCAAAGAGATTTATTTGCTGCTTTCTAAATTATATTATGATAAAGTTAGAAAAGAATCGAATCATCGTCATACGTCAGTTTCAGAATGCCACGTTTACACGTTGCTATTTGCGTAGGTGTCACTGTTCTCTGCATTTGTCTTAATTATTACTAATTAATACTAGTAAAATTAGCATCTTTTTCGGAATTAGTACGACGATATGGCTCTCTGTTTGAAACTGTTTGATAAATATGACTTAATGCAATGATTTGATTGAATACTGGCAAATAATAAACAAAAATAGTTCTCGATTAGTAATTATGTATTATTCAATTAATTCTGTATTGCTTCAGAGCTCATGTATATTCAAGACAGTGGCTAAAAGTAATGGTAATATTCATTGTTTATTTTTATATTTTTTTTTTTTTAATTTTAAAAGCATTTTCTTAATTTTCGAAATGTTATTTGTTTACAATTTAATTAATATTATAATTTTGTTTAAAATGGTTTTTTTTTTCTTCTGGAGAATAGATTAACTATAATTAATTATATAACCAAACAAAAAAAAGAGTAAAAACTGTAATTTTCAGCGTGAACCAAAATTAATTGTTGCTTTTCAAAACAATGCTTTGTCACTATCAGACATAATGACGACAGTAGACACCAAAATCTCTCCATTACTAAAAGACCGTTCCGTACCGATTTGCTATGCTTTGCAAGTTGAAAGTGAAATACGGTACGTTAGTTATAATATTAAATATTAGATGTATCGAAAAGGGTGACAAATTTTATAGCAATTCATGCTGGTGGGGGACAGATCAAATTTTAACGATGACATCACAAAATACCGCAAATGTGTTTTATACATTTTTTTTCAGCTTCAAACGTCTGTCTTCCTTTGTGGTGTTTCACGGGAGCAACGTTGAAGCGTCAGTGTTTGTCGAAGAGACAGCTAATGAAGAAGAGCTGAGACAAAAGCTTTTAGAATGGAAGGTTTGATCCTATTTTTTACATTCTTATTGTTTGTTTAATTCAATTTAAGTTAATCAAAATAAACTGATTATAACTGAAATTCAAGCTGAAATTCAGCAAAATGATTGTTACACTTATGATTGATTAGTTTCTTAACTACAAGCTAATTTATAAATTTTAATTTTAACTTTTTTCCAACTCATTATTGAAGCAGTTTAGTATATTTCATTTGACCATTTTCTTTTGCAGAATGGATTAAAATTCCTCGAAAGCCATCACATAGTCGCTTTCCGTCTTCATAAAGTTAATGTTGAGCCAGAGAATAGTGAGAAGATATTCAGGTACGGCAAGTTCACCTTTTGTAGTTTCTTTAGATGTCTACTTGTCTTCAGATGTCATAATTTCATTTTCAGTGAAATATTTGGCATCGAACTGAGTACCTTACGCTTACCAATGTCTGATAGATATGAAACTGGTTCAATTTACTTCAATTCGCACTCAAAGGCTGAGAAACTTCTAGGCCCTACGTATGCAATTGTTGGTTTCAAAAAAATTTAACATTATCAATGAATCTATACAAATGATGTAAAATTCTTATTCAGTGAAAGATTTCTCACTTGTTGATAAAATAGTATTTATTTCCATCTAACAGTTCCGCAAAATCATTGAGAATTGTTTAAAAAAATCAGTCGAATAGTTTAGCGTACACTGAGTTTCATCCAAAACAGCTCGATATTCCCGCATTGAGGAAGAAAAGGCTATAACGAGAGGAGAAGGAGAACGGAACAGGTGAAAAGCTAGCTGGAAGAAGTAAATGTGTGGATGATAGTTCCGCTCAGAAATAATCAAACAACCATCTCTTAAGATAGATTAAGGGAAGCAATGTTTCTCGAAGAGAGGCTGAAAGAGTTGATCTAAGTAAATCTCAGCATCATTTTCCATCCGATTGGTTAACCGCGGTCAACAAACCACTGAACTATTACAATTGAAAAAAAAAACATATCAAAAATATGTTCAGATTGACTATCACATCAGAATCGTACGAGTAGTGAACTGTCCTAAACATCATTTTCTCAATTGTCACGGAAACTCAATCAAAATATTTTTGATGATGCGTAACTGTCGCAACAGGACAGTCCTCTCCTTCAACTTTAAAATAACTCAGTATGATAATTGCTTTCAATATTTAGATGCCAAATTATATGAAATTTTTTGACTCGAACTTACCTATCAATAATCGATGAAACTCTCCGAATTTTGCTTATCGCATCCAATGGTTGCAATAATACTTACTTCATTCCGACTCTAAAGAATCGATGAAATTCCCTGTGAAAGTAAAAATTCGTCTAAAAATTCTGTTGATAGGAATCGAAATTTTTGATCCACTAGCTGTTGAAATTGATTAAAAAGGAAATTAATTGAGGTTTTTTATAATGAAGTCAAAGTAAATGAAGAAATAATTAAAATACAAACAATTATATCGTTATTTTAATTTTATCCATTCATCTGTGTTTCCAGGGGTCATCGAAGGCTATCGCTCATATATGCGAATCCTTTGAAATGATCCCTCATGTTCGGTGATCTTTGCACATCAGAAAAATTTTTTATACGCTGCTACTTTTGCTACGCTTTATTTTCTGCAGTCAGATATACTTCGCTTAAAATAACATAAAGAATTAAATCATATAAAATTTCTAGCTATTTTTGTTAGTGCTCATACGATTTTGCGAAATTTCTGAGCTAAATGAATGACGACAAATTGCTAAAGATATTCACAAACAGAATTACTGGCTCAAAAACCGGCATTGGAATAATTTGTGCTGAATAGGAATTTGTTATTTGTCGTATAGTGATTATTGTGATCAGTTTTTTTAATTAATACTGATAGTAGTACTCATAAAAATAGCATCAATTATTTCCAATGAAGAACGAATACGAATGTTTCAGTGTATGCACAAATAATGTCAGTTTGTTACGATCAATTTTGTCTTGAGAGATGCTTTTTCCAAAAATTTACATAAACCTTTTTAATAATTTATGAGAAAAGAAAACAAAAATTAAACAGAGTTATTGGACAATTTTTGAATATTTGCTATCGGTTGCATTTGAAGTGTTTCCTCCGCTAATCATATTTACTTTGTTTTCAAATATGACAGATTTTATTGCAAACTGAAACTATTTCTGAAGTTTTCAGATTCTTATGAGTTACCAAAATGCGATCCGTAATGAAATTGTTTTTAAAAAATGATTTTTATTTATCTGTCCTGAAAAAATTCTCGTGAATCTGAATTTAGTTCGAGAAATGAAGATATTAGATCTCATAACTAATATCATAAGATCAAATAATAATCAAATAAGCTGGCAACAATTATTAAAAGTAAGCAGAAAGTTCACTAACGATTTTTGCAAACTTTTGCAAGTTTCATCGTAACTGTCATCATTTTTTTCTCCTAAATTATGTTAAATCAGTAAGATTAAATTAATCAGATGGGAAGAAAAAAATCAAAATTTAATTGCAGAAGTTGTATTAAGCAACGTACCTTCTATAGGAAATAAACAAAGGGTAGAAAGTAGCAAAAAGTGAAAGATTTTTCTCATTTTTCAAAATTCCCAAATATGAGTGATAGCCTTCGATCACTCCTGAAAACATAAATGAATAGATAAAATTCAAACATCAATGTTTTAAGTTCCTATTCCACTTTGACTTTATTATCGGAGATCTCAATTAAGTTATTTTTACTATATATCGACAGTCAGTTAGACCAAAATTTCAAGCTTATCAGAAAACTTTTGAATTGAATTTTAACCTTCACTATCATAATTACTGATAAATTGTTTCGAATCTTGTAAGCCGCAATGAAATAAACTGGATTCAATAGGCAAAATTTAAAAAGTTTCATTAATTGTTGATAGGTAGGTTTGAGTCAAAAAATTTCATATAATTTGGTATAAAATATTAAAAACGATTATGGAAGGTATCATTTGTGACAGTGAGCTATTTTGAAGTTGAAGGAGAATGCATATATGCTGCGACATTATGCATCATCAAAAAAATGTTTTGACGAAAACAATATTTTGAAATTTTTGAATAATTTGAAGTAATAGTCATATAAAAAACACTGCGTACACCACTAATAACTTATGACAGATAAATAAAATTATTTGTGCATTTTGTTGACATTTTCAATCGTTTACTAAATTGAAATTGGATTTTTCGAAAGATGGCAAATACCCGAATTACCATAATATTCTATCTCATACGTCGTGCCTTATATAATATTTCATTTTCAAATTAATAAGACTTTCGATAGAGCTTAAAATAACACAAAGATTTAAATCATATTAAATTTTTAGCTATTTTTGTTGGTGCTCATACGATTTTGCGAAATTTCTGAGCTAAATGAATGACGACAAATTGCTAAAGATATTCACAAACAGAATTACTGGCTCAAAAACCGGCATTGGAATAATTTGTGCTGAATAGGAATTTGTTATTTGTCGTATAGTGATTATTGTGATCAGTTTTTTTAATTAATACTGATAGTAGTACTCATAAAAATAGCATCAATTATTTCCAATGAAGAACGAATACGAATGTTTCAGTGTATGCACAAATAATGTCAGTTTGTTACGATCAATTTTGTCTTGAGAGATGCTTTTTCCAAAAATTTACATAAACCTTTTTAATAATTTATGAGAAAAGAAAACAAAAATTAAACAGAGTTATTGGACAATTTTTGAATATTTGCTATCGGTTGCATTTGAAGTGTTTCCTCCGCTAATCATATTTACTTTGTTTTCAAATATGACAGATTTTATTGCAAACTGAAACTATTTCTGAAGTTTTCAGATTCTTATGAGTTACCAAAATGCGATCCGTAATGAAATTGTTTTTAAAAAATGATTTTTATTTATCTGTCCTGAAAAAATTCTCGTGAATCTGAATTTAGTTCGAGAAATGAAGATATTAGATCTCATAACTAATATCATAAGATCAAATAATAATCAAATAAGCTGGCAACAATTATTAAAAGTAAGCAGAAAGTTCACTAACGATGATATTTTCTCATTCATTTTTCTAATCTGCATAATTTAATTGCTTATTTAATATCAGTTCAAAATTTATTCAATCTATTTTTACACGCGGGATGATATGCTCTTTACAGTTCAGAAAAGGATATTTTTTGTATGATACAAAAAAATATTATAGGTAAGCGAATCTGATAGCTAAATTCACAAAAATATTTTTTTTTTTTTAGAAAAAGAATTAAAAGAAAAAACATATTTTACATAATAAATATCTGTATTTCCGTAGTTTTTTTTTCCAATCAAAGTTAATTAGTTTATGCATTATTTCACTTTGTTTCATTGCGTAGTTATGCTTGAAATTCACTGTCGTAGTTATGTTTGAAGCTTTAAAAAAATTTTTTCGGTATATTTTGGTTATTTTCACTTCATAATATTTAAGAAATTTATTGGTAGAACCATTTGATTATTAGACCTCACAGGAATTAAAACTGAACTAAATGGCAAAAGGTTACGAACTGGACCTCTGTCGTGGATTTAAACATCGCAAAGCACTAAATAAATGTTAACAATACTTAATATAGCAATCCATTGATGTCTTTACAATTCAATTAACTTTTGATCTTATATCAATTCATATACTATGAGCATCTATCATGTAATGTCTATTGCAACTCATAGTAGCCACTTATCATAATGTCTGGACAAACCATTGTACTTTCTTTCGTGATATCCATTTAATTCATCGTGATATGCATTTTTAAACCTATTGTTAAAGTTACTTACTGTCATCATTTGTATAAAAATGTCTAATTATAAACTAATCCCATATTTTAACATATATAATATAAGATAATTGCTATATAAGGATCACCCTTGTTAAAAGATTGGGATATGTGTAATTTATCGCCAAGGACCGACGATTCCAATTTCAATTGTTCTCTATCAACGTTTTGTCCTATTACTTCTGCTAATAAAGAACTTGGATTATATTTCTGTTACCTCACGCATTTACATTCACATCCAACCAATCTCCCTGCGATCAAACACCTCTCCCAATATTATTAATTAAACAAATCGAAACTTTCCACGACAACCACTCAGATAGATTCACCGTTTTAGAAAGCTGTTCGATTAAGTCTGAGCAATTCAGTAATTCCATTTAGTTATACTTATTATCACGGAATTGGTTACAAATTGCTAATATTAATTTACTATTAGCAAAGAAAATACTTCAATTGTCATTGCTTGAGTAAGTAACAATGAAATTGCATTATAATTACATGTAATAATTATTTTAGTACAAAATATCATTTATTCAATGTATTCTGAACATACAAATAGTTTTTGTAACATTCAAAATTGAAAACAAAATTTTTAAGGATGAAAATTTACAAATAGTTCTCAATGTTCTCTTTATCCATCCATCAAAATTTGCACAGTTTGTTCTACAAGATTTGCAAAATCAGGCGGTCTTCTCACAAGTCCTTTCCGGATCCGTTCTTGATAATCACGCATGCTGCCATCAATACCATTCATATTACAATTGTGCTCTGTACAAGCACATAATCGTGTAATATCACGAGTAGTACTACGTTCAACGCATGCTCCTTCCTGAAATACTCATTTTCTTAAAATAGAAAATTTTAATATTTATAAATTTGATTTTTCCAACTTCTTTCTGATTTAGTTCTACGACAAAGGCAAATAACTTACTTCGCATAAATAACTGACAGTAACTGGTAGCATACTACCAAGTATGGGATGTGTTCCAACTATAAAACGATATTCATCTTCACAACCACCAAATTCCACGGTTTCTCCGGTTTTTTTGTCTAAAATGATAATTTTTTAAAATGAACAATAATATTTTGAAACATCAATTCTTCGCATCTTATCAAAATCGTTCAATCATTCAGTGTCGATGAAACTGGGCATCTCTAACAAACAAAACTATAGTTGTTTTTTTTTTTTCACTTTGTTAATTTTTGTGCTTCATTTTTATCTACACAATTTCTTCCTTCAAAAGGGAATTAATTTTAAATGCGAAAACTCATGAAAGTGTGTAACATCACAAATCAAACAAAATTAAAAATGTCTCTATTTCAGTGATTTGACAATATGATGATAAGATGTCTTCTCATAAAATAAAATGCATTTAACAATGTATTTTTAGAATAAACATTATAACAACATTAATGCAAACAGTAAAATATTATTAAATAAGAAAAATTAGAAATACATATATGACTTACTAATAAATTCAGCACTGTAACAACACGCATTACCAAACATACAATCATCCATAAAACGTTTTGTTGTTTTGCCATTTTTCTTTTGATACGTATAACACGTTAATGACGTACTAATAAACGGTTTTGGAATATCCACAGTTATTCCAAGATGTATTGAGCAAATAAGCCAGAAAACTAAAATTTATTCAGACAATTATAAATATATATTTCATCTTTTTGTATTGCATAAATATATATATATATATAAAGTTTTTCGATGTATATAGATGACTGATCACTATGTTTACACAATATTTACAAAACTTTACAACCTAGTAGTATTGAAAAATAATATTTCTACTTTGGAAAATTAAAACAATTCTGAATTAATTGCAAGTTTCTACAGTTCATATAGAAATATAAGAAACTTACTAATAGTTAGGATAAATCTAACCATTGCCAGTCAAATCATTAGCCACAAATATTAATGAATTATTGGTAGAACTGAATTTTTCTGATATACTTTGATCTGCTAATGTGTTCTGTTATTTTTAAAGTAACAATGATCTAATAATATCAGTATAATATTTATGCAAAATATTAGTTTTATCTATGAAATAACAGCAAGGGAAATTGTCGATTAATTCAAAATCAGTAAACTAATTAACGAATCTGACAAGATAATTGGCAAAATTGAGAATAAAAAATCAGTTGATGAAAAATTGAAAACAAAAAATCAATTGATTAATAAATTATCAGGACAATAAATAATTTTGAATAAATTATTAAAGAAAAAAAAAACTGAAGTACTTAATTGGAAGTGAAACATGTGGTGATTGAAAATTCAAAAACGAAATAATATATAAAAACGGCAAAAAATAAAAAATAATGAATAGCGTATCTTTATTTATTTATTTTTTGTTTCCGTATAAAATAATATAATTTGCTAGTAAAGCCGAAAAATATAATTAACTGCATATAGGAATATTCAGGAGGTCAAATAACGGATGAATAATTCTGAAGGTCATCGAGCAGAACGGATAAATGTGTATTGCAGATGCGCTGCGATCCACAGGAAAATAAATATGATTAGCCAGTCGTTAAACGAAACGCTGAAGTTCAAGCAAGGATCAAAGTGCAACTCCGACTGAAAAGTTGTGTAACTAAGTAACACATGCAGTTAGCAAAACATCAAAAGAAGCCGACCTGGAGATAAGATTCACTGTCACACGTGGAGAAGAACCAAAATTTTTAAATGAGTGCATCAGTGAAAAGATTTCGGTTTTGACAGATTCCACTGGGTACATTCGACAATTCCATAGTTCAGAAACACAAGGAACAATTCTGCAGAAGATCGATAGTGATGCCAAATTATGATAACTTAGTCAACATTCATTTGTTAGTATAATTTAATATTTGTTTTATGTTCAATTCGTTTCTATCATTGCGATTGAATGATATCGTACAAAATGAGTTAAAGCTATCTATTTTCTACGTTGTGTTGTTACTACAGCAGTAGATATTATTAAGTCCTTCCGCATCAGTTTGCCAAAATTCCTTTATTTCCAATCATTGTCACTGAATAATACCCATCAGTGATAATTAGTGACGGCTATGTAGAAATAAAAATTGCATTAAATCCACAGAACTAAAGATTGTCTCATTTAAACATTCCTTAGGCAAATGTTCTTCATCTTAGGTAGACAATCATTTATATTATAATTATATTCCATGTAGTTTGGTTTTATTTGCATTATTAATCATTTGCATTTTCATAGCTTATTAAGAATACCTGTTGAAATTTGTCCCCCATTAGATTATCAATTAGATTATTATTATTAGCTTTTTATTTAATTGACCTCTTTTATTGTTTGTCGGTTCCTTACTAACTGTAAATTATATTCGAATCTGACAAGGTTAACAGGTTTTCGTTTAGCTGATGACCTCTTTTATTTTGTCACTCATTTACCCAAATCTGATTGTGGATGAGGTTAACAGTACTTTATATAGCTGACCTTCTTTCTTTGTGGCATTGTAAATCATGCATCTTGTTGTATCAGTTAACGACATTTTTATTTCAATAAATTAAAGATAGATCAAACGTCGATTTCTCTGCAAAGTATTAACTATTCGGCTCTACAATCTATTTGAACACTATTTTACGACAAACGTTTCCATGAGAACTTAAATAATACGAAATCAAATTACAGATCATCAAAGAAATGATCGAAAGCCTTGATTATTATGCTAGTACGCTCGAAACAATTATTCAAAAATGGTCAGATCTCATGCAGAATACAGCAATCACAACAACGAAGAGAGATAAGGAAAGGAAATACTGCCAGATTGTTACCTAAATAACTCCTTATATGGTAAGTATTAACTCATAACAAGACGTATGATTTACAATGTTGGAAAGGAGGTTAGCTAAGTAAAGTGTCATCAACAGTCAGATCTTGGTAATGAGTTGGCAAGTCACAAAAGAGTTTAGCTAAACGAAAAACTATTAAATTCGAATATAATTTACAGTTAGTAAAGAACCGACAAACAACAAGGTCAACTAAATAAAAAGCTGATATTGTTAATCTGCCCAGTGCCAAGAAACCTTACATAGTGCCCAATGCAAAAATCATTCGAGTGAAATTTATTCGAAACTTTCATGTTTTATGCATTTCATAAAAGCAACACTTCCAACTTTTTAACTGCATCTTCTCCTTTCACTGCTGAATAAACTATAACTGCTGTTTCTGTACCTGCTTTGTTAGCAAAAACTGATCTCACTAACCTTCCTCTAGCTAAATTATTATTATTGCCACATCTTCTATAACCGAATCATTAAAGATATCCTGAAATATTATGGATAAAGCATTCAACAGATTGTTTCCGTCTATACATATTAAATATATATGCTAACATATAGCACTGTCATAATCGATGCTAAACCAGTCATAACAAAAATTAATGCATTTTAATCTTTTCAGTATTACAATTAAAACAAGCAGTGATGTAATGACTGAGGCATTGTATTAAAAGAGATTATTCGATAACGCTGTAGTTTAATTCCTTCAAATGATATGCCACCAAAAATCATTGCAACAATATAACAAATTTGTCAATTCTTATAAATGCAATTTTGCAAGCCATATTAAACATAATAATTTTATGATTATGATGGCACGCTATCCTGTTTATTTATTATTTGCTAAATTATCTCATCAATACTTTTCAGAGCAATAACTGAATGCAAGTACTAATTCAATAAACTTTATCGATAAGCCAAGTATCTCAGTAATTATCCAAAAAATTGCACTCGGACCCCTATTGTGATAGCCATTCCTGATAGAGTTCTAAAGTCAACCGTTCCTGAAATCACCGTTGCAAACGTTTGGATATGAGCGATTATATTGTCATTATGATTAGATTCTACGTTAATTAGCATTTGTATCCCATTAAAGTTGATAAACTTTAACTGAACGTGTAAAAAATTTCAGTTACAGTTACCTAAATGATTGCAAATGTAATATGAAATACCTTTACGTATGGAAATAAATCTAATAATTCACTATTTTTACAATCATATTGTCCACTACTTTTTATTACAATTTATAGCTAATAAGTTATATATATATAAAGTCCGGCACTTATTAGAGTATACAGGTCACCTAAAATTAGTAGAATGATCTATGGTTTACTAACGAGAAATACGATAATAATTCCTAACTTTATGTTTCAAATTATTAAATGTTTAAAACATATGAAAAAGCGTCGATGTTTTTAAAAGATATTAAATAGATGGCTTTTTCTTACTTGATAAATTTCCTAAATATTTGTATCCAAAACAATTTAAAAGCAGCAGAGCACAAAAAATGTTAATAATGTTTAAAAAAATAACCATTTGCCTTTCTCTTCTAAGAATCTTTCGAAATTTTGAATAGAATTTGTCAAAACTGAAATTTTATTCCACACACATTTATTCTTTCGGTTTGTTCACTTTTACAACTGTCTAATCCGCTATTTAACTTTAATAAAAACTATATTACATTTCTCGATTTTTTCTAAGTGTTTTGTTAAGATGGATGCCTTGAATGGTTTATTGACTAAAATTACTTTTAATTTTTCTTGTTGTGGTTTGTTTTATGGCCAATGTTCTGAGATTTGTGGTGCCAATCACAGTTTTATGCCCATTGCTTTGGAGTTGACTTCTTTGGAGTGTTGGAAAGCTTGGTCTTTAGGATATTTATTGGGTTAAATTTTTCCGATCGGTTTCAGCTAACTTATTTCAATTATACCCTACTTTCAGTTAATGTATTGCAATAATCTCCAATTTGTGCAAGTTTATCGAAGTTTTAATTCACGAATTTTAAAGTTGGGAATTAATTAAAATCACGCTAATTATGCGGTTAAGTAAGTATAAGCACTGAACTGTATTTTTCACAAATGAATTATGCATATATGTCAATGAAGAAATGTTAGAATACAATTTATTATTTCAAAAGATAAAAGTACTTGAGGAAGTGCAAAACTACACGTAATATAAGAACAATTATAATAGAAATAACTAAGACGCTGAAATTTTGTATTACGTATTACGTGATAAAGGTGATAAAGAAACGTGAAGGCTTACTATGTTCAAATCATTAAATGCATGATTAATTCATTCCAAAAATAACTAAGTAATGAATGTTACGCAAAGTGAGACATTAATAATTTCAAAAGCGCAGTTGCACAACAAGATGGAACAGAGATCTGATTAATTGCTTATCAAATTATTGATTTGCGATATTATCTGTTCAAAATTCGAGTCTTTGGATTGATTTTTTTTTTTTTTTTGAAATTTATAAATTTTGAAAATTCTCTCTAAAATTTGAAATCTAAATGCAGTGGTTTTTATCACCTACTTTCATCTAGTCATCACTTATAAACTTTTAATTTACTTAGAGTATTCACACATATATATGTCTTTCTTCTTTTACATTTTCATATGCATTTATATGTGCGTATGTGTGCGTATTTCTTCTCCTTTAATACAAGAATAACTAGGTAATGAAGAATTTTCTTTTAAAGATATGGGAATAGTTCGTTTTTCTGAAAAAAAATTTGAAAGAATGAATGTAAAGATATGAAAATTTTACATCAAAAAATAAGAAAAAAAGGAAATAGGAGGAATTTCAATTTAAAAATGTTATTATTACATTAACGAACGACTCAGCTTAAGTATATCTAATGTATAAATGGCACTTGTTTTAGTTATGTTTTCTCAAAGGCCATTGCTGCCAAATTAGTTTTCTAAATTCCTATTGTTTCATCGTCTCCAGTTTGCAGCATTATCAACTATTGCTTTGAACGATTTATTTCATGCAATTTTCAAGAGAGCGATGTCGGGTGGATATCTCGGAGAATTCGGTGTGAATGTTAAGGGTAAACTTTAATGTTCGAAATTTCGCATCTCTAATAATCCGTAAGGCTTAAAATTCTTTCAGATGATTTAGTTCTACTATTATTTTTTCGATGCTTGTGACCGCATGTGAATCGTTTTAGCATTAAGCGTTGCAGAAATTTATCAATATTACATATCTTGTTTCAGTTTTTGAGAATTTTTGGTGTTGTATATTATATATCAGATTTTAGACGAATACACCAACTTCATTCTGTTTCAGATTTACGAAAACCGTACTATAATAAAGAAGAACCGTTCCTATTGGAAGAAAATTTACCATCAAGAAATCCGTTTGAACTTTTTGATATATGGTTCAAAAATGCTGCAGAAAATAAGGATGTGACATTTGAAGAAGTTAATGCTGTTTGCCTTTCAACTGTAAGTTGTTTTTCGATCATTTGCTTTTAATTTATAGAGTACTTTTTGATTGTCTGTCTTTTTCCAACCGTAAAATAAAACCGTTTTCTTTCATCTATGAAATATGTTTTGTATCGCTTTCATAACATTACTGGTAGGAAAATTAGCCAATTTTTTAGGTTTTTAATAATCAACCCAAGTCACGAATGGTTTTAATGAAAGAGTATGACAGAGAAGGTCTGTGCTTCTACACACACTATAATAGTGCCAAAGGAATACAAATCGATAAAAATCCTTATGCTTCCATGCTGTTTTACTGGCCTCATGTTGATCGACAAGTAAGCAATTTCGTTTATCCAGAAATTCCTTTCATTCTAGGAGCGGAGTAATTTGAAGGAATGCTCAGTATTAAAGCCAGATTGTTAGGACCATTAATAGTTTCTGGCCGGTGAGCTTTAGGCCAATAGGTAGCGTATTGAACAGTTTTAGTGTCTGCAGTTTATTTGTCTGTTGATAGTAATTGCTGTGTTGTTTAATTAAGTTTGCAGTGATTTGTATTTGTAAATTTGTAATAATTTGTAAAACACTAGATTCGAATGGAGGGAAAACTTGAGAAATTGCCTCTTGAAGCAGCAGAAGCTTATTGGTATCAACGGCCATTGAAAAGTCGCATTGGTTCAAAAGTCAGCGAACAAAGCAAGGTTATTTCAAATAGACAGGTTAGATCTCTTCTTTAAGACATTTCTTCGCCATTTGTAAATGTAGTGCCAATAGGAATGATGAAGCAAATATTTATCATTAAACTACAGATATATGTAAAGTTCCTAGGAAAATTTTCCTTTCCCATTGTGACAGTTAGATATTACTGGCTTGTGAACATCGAAATCCATTCGAAAAGAGATGAGATCAGCCCAAATAATTTAAATGCTGAATAACATATTTATCTTAAATGAGATAAGGGAATGAGTGAAAGCGGTTAATATTCAAGTGATATTCATTTCTGTTCCAAATTATCTTTTTCATTTGAGAATTAAATTAGTGACATATAATTTGAATGCTTCCCGTTCAAAACTTAATTTCGAAACTTTGAATGCGCTTTTAGTTTTTGTAGTATCTAGAAGACAGGAAAGAGAAGCTCGAAAAGCTTGTTGCTGAAGAAGGTGAAAAAACAGTCACTAGACCGGATGACTGGTAAGGATTTGTTTCATTATTTACTTCATTATCATAATTAGCCTAATTAGCTGCAGTTGTTTTTCTGCACTGTCTAGGAACTTAATGAAAAAGAAGTTTTTTTCGGTATAATTATAATCAACAAGGAAAGTTCATCGGTATAATCATAACTGATAAGGAATGACGAATGTTGCAGGGGTGGTTATAGATTGCGTCCAAACTATTTCGAATTTTGGCAAGGTCAGTCTGATCGAATACACGATCGTATTGCATTTGAAAAAAAAGAGAATGAAATGGAATGGTTAATTAAACGTCTTTCGCCGTGATAGCCATTCTCAAAGTGATCTTTATTAATCTAGCTGATTGTTAAATTCCTCCAAATATAACTTTCACTGCAAATGGCTGTTAGTATTTTTTTACTGAAGACTGTTAACAATACGCAAATCTGACAAATTAATATAAACTTTGAAGTTATAGCAGCTCCTATAACAGAAGCTCCCTGAAAAAGAAAAAGTAGAGTCTTCCTGTCTTGTTTAGTTTTTTTTTTTTCTTTTTCTATTCTTTAAGATCTGTAATATTAAAGTAGTAGTAAAATAAATCTTCGTAGAAATAATGAGGAAATAGAAATAATGAGGGAATGAATCTAATTAGGATAGAAATAAGCGAGTTTGAAATGTTGTGAAAAAGATAGAGAAGAGAAGCTATAAAGTTTTTATATTTATAGTAATAAAAATATATGGAGAAAATTTATTTTACTATTACTGTTGATTTACCTATTTGTTGTTTCTTAAGAAGATGGAGTATTAAAATAATATAATATTTGAGGAATTTGATCTTATTCATTGTCGTTCATTTTTCATATTTCCCTTTTATTTATTTTGTTTAATATTCGTTCGGATTGAATCTTGTAAAAATTATGTAGTAGTATTGTATGCTATTAATTTGTTACTTGGTTAATTATATTTTATTTAGCGGAAGTAATGCCTCTTTGGTGTTCTGTGATTGTATTGTATATTATTTTGATGCACACTTCTAACTTAATTTTTCTTTTTCCTATCAAAAAGTAAAAGATAGCAACAATTTTAGCAACAACTATAGCAATGTACTTATCCAAAAAAGCAACAACGTACTTATCCAAAAAAAAAAAGAAAAAAAAAAAACGTTATTTTAACAAATTGAAGACAAGCAGCTCAATTATGTGTTATTGACAATGAACAACTACAGTCTTCCCCGTGAGCTTTAAACGTCAGCTATGTTTTACTATCTTAATTTGACTTTTGAAGCAAATTAAGAAATTGGGAAGCTCCGTAAATTGATGCGTTGTGAGGGTACCAATTATTCATATCAACAAGTAAGGAGAAGAATAATATGGAAAAGAAGCAGTTCTCCATGTGCTCAGTCCTATCATTTTGTCACCATAGTTGTGAAATGTATGTTAAGGATTGGCTCAAAGATTGTATCTATCAATGCACAAAGATTTGAACTACAAAGTGGCTTTGCGCAATGACACCACCAATTAACAACTGCGCCATTGCATCTGAAGTGCTATACTTGCTTGACATTATTTTATTAAATCTATTTGAATATTTTACATAATGAATCTTTTATTTCTTAAGTGTTGTATAACTTATATGCGTGGAAGTTGTTTTACATGATTATGCAACTTTTAATGGTGTTGCTTGACATTTCATTTTAAACTTTTCATTAATTTTTTCAATTGAAGAAATTATTTATTAAAAATGGTGTTATAATAATGAGAAATTCTATATTTTAATAAATAGTTACTTATAAATTATCATCATATGTTTAAATTTTGGAGTAATATCAAAAACAAAGCTGCAACAGTTTTAATAAATTCCCGAAGTTATAGCCTGTCTGCTGTATTGCAAGGCTTTCTCTAAAAAAATGCCCTGTGTTTTTTCTTTCCCTTTAGTGCATTCGTGAGCGTTGGTTATTTGAGTATTTGTACATTTGTTACGTGTACACGTACGTGAACATGTTTTCATGTTTTATAATTCTTGTATTCTAATCAAGTCTATTTTTTGTGGTATTTTTTCTTTTGAATCAAATTAAATTTGTGTAGAATTTTTTTAAACTAATAAACATCCAAATTAGTGATAGGTTACTTTGCTTTACTAATTTATGATTGTTGAATTGTTAGGAAAATTTTCATATTTACATAAGACGGTAGCATTTTTGTGTTGGATTTTAGATTTTAATATTTCACATCAATTTTTTTTCTTTGTTTCCTCTACAATTATATTATTCAAATTTGTTGCAGAGCTTGGACGTTTATAGCTTGCGTATAAATTGAGTGAGAAATATATACCCATAAAAAATGGTATGTTCTTGATATATTTATTCGCTTATTGTCTGTTTGTTTATTCGTTTCATTTCTTTTGGACATTTTTGGTCGTACTTGTGTGTTTATTCATCTGTTTAGTTGATCATTCACTTTATGTGGCCATATCCGGCCAATGCTTGCTAAGAATTCGAACTTTAACAAAATAAATTATCTTGAAGATTTAAAGTGATGTTAAGGATAAACTTTTACTGCAGTGATATTCAGTTTATGTGGTTTATTATTGCTATAACCAAACTATGTGTGGTTAAAGATAATTGCCAGTATACATATATATATATCATTTATTAAAGAATAGTTCTAAAGTCTTTAGTACCATGATGAGACTCCTTCTTTCCTCTTAAATTCAAGATGATAACTAGTTATTTTCGTAGAAGTGGCAAATCATTTGATATATTAACAGTCGTACTATAGCATAAATCAACAGAGTGATTAATAGTCATTTATAGAGTGCCACGCTGCAGCCATATTTGGAGGCTGTACGGAAAACATTAGAAGCTGCAATGTGTCTGGAACAGTTCAGTTCGCAAGTAGTTGAAAGGTATAACAAACCGGAAGTAAGTACCTAAATGTTTTGCGTAAATAATTTGTATCTAACATAGTTTTCAATACACTTTCATCCTGAATTTCTTTTCATCCTGAAAAGAAAACTTCAGTTTGCAGTGTTTTAAACAAATCATAGGGTGACATTGCTTCCTGCATTTACTGTAGTTTAGGTTTTTTTATCAAATTTAAGTTATCAAATCAAAAAAATATGTAGAGGATATGCTTAGATAAGTCACTCATGTGTAACACTTGAGCATTCATTAATTGGTATCCTGTAAGATTCAAAACATCTTTTCATTCCTATGGATACTTTATCACTATCTGTAGCAGTTTAGTTATGCATTCCCCTCTGTTTTCAGCAGAGAGTGAAAATCAAATGATAATTTTAGGTAGAAGTTGGTACATCATCCGAACTTTTGTTAACTCCAGTAGTTGTGTCACGTAACAAGCAGGAGCGTGTCTTAATCGAGCCATCGATTAATTCGGTGCGCGTCAGTATTGCCGTGAAACAAGCTGATGATATTGAAAAGATTTTAACTCACAAGTTTACACGTTTTATGTGTCAGAGGGCTGAGAACTTTATTATACTCAGAAGGTTAACTTCTATTAAATTATTTACTCAGTAATATTGCAAGTAAACTTTTTCTATTATGTTATGATTCCATATGTGTAACAAAATTCTGATTATGAAAAACGGCTATTTCGTTTTTTTTTTTTTTTTTTTTTTTTTTTTCGCATATAATAGAATTAATTTTTATAGGAAACCAATGCCTGGTTATGATATATCATTTTTGATAACTGCAACGCATACGGAAATAATGTATAAGCACAAATTGGTTGATTTCTTAATTCACTTTATGCAGGAAATTGACAAGGTATGTGTTTATATATGCAATACGTCCATGATTTATATTGTCGTGCACATCCGAAATTGTGGGATATTTTGCTTAAAGTTTCAAAAACCACATTTGTTTTACTTTAATTTCAATTTTTTGTCGATTTTCTATACTGCGTTATCAACGTTTGTTTGCTAAATTTGAGAAATTTGATTCATTTTTGTATCGTCATCCCTAAATTCCTCATAAAATTTTCTTTCATCAGCTATCAATAGAAAACGTGTATTTGAATTCTAGTTTTTTTTAATTTTTAGGTTTTTGGCATTATAATTATTAACATTTTAACTGCTGAGGTATTCAGTATAAAAGCGCTGTTATCATCCAAATAAAAGTTTTGTGAATTAAATTTGGAAACTTTCGACTTGTTATATCATTCTCATACTAAAATTATTATATTCTACTACTGGAGTTTAACTGTGATTGGTTTCATATAAAAGAGAACAATTTTTGCAGGAAATTAGCGATATGAAATTGGCATTGAATGCTCGTGCTCGAGTATCTGCCGAAGAATTCTTGAAGCGTTTCAATTAATTCACTTATTATTTATTTGTGCATGTGTACTTTGTAGCTCATATTTCCATATTTTAATTTTGGGACACAATGCAGTAAGCAGTTTCACTTTCAACCTGTAAATCATTTTTTTATCGATATCGTTGTGTTCTATCATGTGACGACAATTTTCAATGGTTCATTTCTGTGCCATAACGATTTACATCTTTAATATATATTGTCATGTTTCGAAATGTTGCATCCTATGTTATGTAGTCATCAACTGGGTGAATTATTGAATTGTTCGGTAAAGATTTCAAACAAGACTTCAGGAAAGCTTTATTCTTTCTATTGATTATAGTAATATTATTTTAGTAGTATTTCGTATGATGTATTTTTGAATTATATGAACAGAGATGTCATTCAGATGGACACTACTGGTCATATTACCATATTATTTAGCTAATTTGTGTTAAATTTGATAGTTGTGTAGAGCTCATATGATTGAGTCGTCATTTCCATTGTTATATATAATAATACGTGTTTGATAAAGTCCATTACACATTAGACATAAATTTTTGATAGACACATTAGTATTTATCAAAGGTGATTCTTTTACCTGTTATTTTTGTTTTCTTCTTTGTTGTTATCATAATTCATTTGCTATTTATTATTACTATTAATTTGCTGTAAGATATTTGTTCATTTTTAGATCATTTTTCTGTCATTTAACAATTATTCAGTTTTGTTTATGGTTGATTCCTTTTAAGAATGTTCAGTAAAGGCGATTATCAGATGCTTTTTTCCTGTCAGTTTTAAAGCTTTTGCTTCATAAAGCTACCATATCATATTTTTTGAATGCAATTGAATGTTTTTTCCTCTCACTGTTTGAATTTTCCTTTAAAAATTCTTGCAGTTTAAATTTTCTTATCTGAAAGTAATGACAAGGTTTTTATTATTGCCATTATTTCTCTCTGTCCTGCAAAAATTATCAGCGTTGGAGTCGACAGTTGACGATGTTGCGGCTACCTATAAAATCGAAGGACAAATCATTTTCCCAGAATCATTTACTGCTGAAAATGGCAAGCTAAGTCCAAGTCGTGTGCTAGTGAATTATGACTTTAAACATGTTGCATTTGTAAGGTTGGTTATCAAACAGTTTATTTTAACTTTATATCTTAACTTTCAAATAATTTGTACTTATCTCTGAGCCATTTTGTTCAGAGGAGTTAGGATGGATATCTCCTAAAATATTTTGTATAAGGAAGTTGGAATTCCGGATATGTTGGATATGTTACGGAATGTTGGGTAAAAGTACAGAAAGACTGAGCGTTTTCCCAAATGTGGGAATGGAATTACGCATATTAAACGATTTATATTTATAAAATTATAAATTATAGAAATTTTCAGGAAAGATGGTTCGTTTGTGGTTTCAGGTATTCCACCAGGTTCTTATATTATTGAAATTTCAAACATCGATTATGCTTTTGAACCAGTACGAGTTGATATTACCTCGAAAGGTAAAATAAGGGCGCGACGACTTAATTTATTACAGGTTAGTTTTTTAGCATTATTTTAGTATACTATTTGCTTCTATTTGTGATGGGAAAGCTAACTAGTTATGATTTTCCCATTTCACTACACACCAGAATTCACTGCGTCAATTTTTCTGGTATTGTGATTCTAACCAGTCAGTTAATTTTAGATGCTCAGTTCATTTCAGCCATCACTAGTATCTTCACTTCCATATCCATTGCGCTTGAATGCAGTTCACCAAATTAACTATTTTCGGCCTCGAGAAGAATGGCACTTAGCAGACATACTTACTAATCCAATGGTTTTAATGATGGTTGTACCTCTTGTTTTACTTGTTGTATTACCAAAGCTTGTTAATGCAAATGACCCTGAAATTAAAAAGGTAAATCATTAACCTTCTTTTTTCTCCACCTTAATCCATCATTGTATACCTTTTTGTTGAAGGATAATCAATTTCATCAAACAAAGAATTATGTATGCTTTTGTAATATATAAAAAAATGCAATTGTGCGTTTTACCTGTGACCGAGTAATGAAGTTTGTTCAAAAAAAAAAATCTTAAACTTTAATGGAAACTCAATTGATTTAGTAACGGATCTATTTACATTTTACCTTTTTTGCAGTAAGGTAATAATTTATTGGTTTTAGGAAATGACTAAAACTATGCCACAGATGGACGTCCCTGATGTTTCGGAAATGTTGGCTTCATGGTTTGGTGGAAATCCAAAAAAAACAAAAAGAACGACAACAGGAAACAAAAAACGGCAATGATATCTTATAGATATATTGTATGGTGGTTAATCTTGTTTGAAGGATACATAACAGGCTTTTGTTAGAAGCAAATGTAGTAAGACCAGTCAAAATATAATGCCATTTCATGAATAAGTTAAATACATTATGTCATAATCGACTTCAGTGTTAGATATAGTGAGCATCTTTTCACTGTTTAAATTTTTCAAGTGGTGGAAAATTGCAGTGAATTTTAACCCTAAAAATACACAGGTTGTACATTTTTTTTCTTTGTTGTAATAATTTCATTGTAGTCAATTTCTTTCTCGTTTTCACGGGTTATTTATACTGTTATTTATCAAGATAACCTAGTTTGCATAATTTGTTTACATAACTATGTATTAGAAAGTATTTTATGTAACATAAATATGACATCCAATAAAAGTTTAATTGATATGAAGATTTACAGCAAGCCAACTGATAAAAGGATTTTGTGGCATTTGTTTGATTATAGTATGTTAGTGGGAAATGTAGATTTATCAATTTAGGATTTATTTATAAGTTCAATTCTGTTTTCGATACAAAACAAGAAGGATTTTCATCCTAAGATCTCTCACTATTACTAACATGAAATAGCATTGCAATATTTTCAAGAATTAACATAGTACTCATTTTTTTTGGCCAAATAGTGCCTTGTTATTCAAGACAATTTGAAATTATGGATAGATTGGAAAAAACAATCGATTAATCTGCTCGTAGTGTCCAGGATTTTTCTTTATCACTGATATTGAAAGAGTATATCTCCATATTTGATATACAAATGCATCTGTAGTGTATTATGTTACCAGCTAATATATATCATTTCCTTATCGAATAAACTTCAAAATTAATCAAAAAATAAATTTTTTCATCAGGTAGATATGCCAAAAAAAAATTTTCTTATCAAATATATTTCAAAACTGATCAAAAGTTACAATCCATTTCAGTATTCTTTGATTTCTTTTATTTATTTTTTAAAAAATCAAAATCTACAACGGTATAATTCATTGAATAATTCCATTAATTTTGCTAAAAAAAATCTTTTTTATTAATACACATAATTTTCTTTTACAAACACATCAATTGAAAAATAATGATTTAAAACATTAAATGATAATGTAAAATGATGAGATTTGTTAGTATTTATTATTTCAAGTTTTATTGCTAAGAAAGTTGTCATGGCAACACATACACACATGCATAAATCAACAATATTTTAAGTATTTCATAAAACGATGTTGTCAAAATTGGATTGCATTAGTTTGCGTATTTCTTTAAATGATAAATTTATATTTAAAAATCGAAGTTTAATGCAATATTATTAAATTCTTATCAGCAATTTCTTTTTCTTTCATTTTTCGTTTTTTTCTTTCTGTCATCTTATTTTTGATGGTGTAATATAATTTAATGAAATTTCATTTTCACTTTAAATTTTGCAATCCATATAATGGTAATATAATAAGAGGAACTTTTATTACATAGTTATATCAAAACTGTAACTTCGATGATCTTTATTACGACATCGTTTATTTATAGTAATTTTATTGTTCCAATTTAAAAAAACTTATTGTTAAGACGAATAATATTGTCTTATTGTAATTTATATTAAAGAATTAGTATTGTCCAGTATAATACTATTAATAAATATTTTTATGATTCGATAAAGTTATATTAATTCGAAATGATATTTAAAAAAAAATTAGAGAGTGTTTAATTGTATAATATTTTCATTATCGTTTAAGTCAAGATTTCAGTATATTTAGTTATAAATCAAAATTTTTAAATCTGATAAAAAATGATTTCTTATATACAGCACTATTAAAAATTTCAGCACATTCATGGAAGAAAAACACAAAAAAATAATACAATTATTTTAGCAATTTCATTATCAAATTGTTTATACTGTATAAATGGGATTGTTATCACAAATTTCGATTGCTCTGGGTGTTTCACGGAAACAAGTAAATATTCTAATGATTGGTCTTGATAATAGTGGCAAAACAACCATTATCAATAAGATGAAAAAGGAAGAAGATCGAGTAACTCAGGTTATTTAATTTATAATTTTCAATATATTTAAATGCAATTTTCTATAAACTAACTTTGGAAACATGGAACAAATAAATGAATGAATGATAATTAAATGAAAGCAAAAATGTGATAAAATATGATCAACTTGATAGGTTGCAAAAAACCTGCTTAATATAATCAACAAACACTATATATTTTGAATTGAAAAAATTTGTTTCGATAATAACATTGATTTAGTTAGCATTGTTACTGTCTAAATTTAAACACATTTTAATTTTTAACCTACTAAACAAATTTGCCACAGATTACACCAACAATTGGTTATACGACTGAGAAATTTATTTTTAACAATACAACATTTTTGGTGCATGATATGTCTGGGCAAGGTAATTTTCTCTTTGTTTGAAATTATTTAAAAAATGGTAGGTTTTATAAAATCAGTGACAAAAAAATGCAGAAAAATCTTATCAGTTTACAAATATTTGTATATGAAAAATTATACTTAATAAACTGTTTATAATATTTTTATGTTTTTAGGCAAATACCGGAATTTATGGGAGAATTACTACAAAGAAGTAGATGGTGTGGTATTTGTGATTGATAGCAATGATCGATTACGGATAGCAGTTATTTGTGATGAATTACGATTACTGTTGGACCATACAGAATTTAATCGGAAAAAGGTTTTTTAAAAAACATTAAAATTTATAAATTTACTAAAGATATCTTTGCTTTTTTTATCTTCCTTTTTTTTAAGGACTCATATATTCATTAGGTAATGCAAACATTTAGAAAGAAGATGTAAACTTAGACAGTTTAATTTGAAATTTTCAAATAGCAATTGAATATATAAAGTTTTTCATTTTTGATAATTATTTTTTTTTTTTTTTAAATAATTCAAATGCCGTAAAACTGTTAACAGCATTTGAAATTCCTTTAACGTTTATAGAAATCTTTTCAATTACTCTGATCCTTTGGGAATTGCTTACGTTTCTCAAGCTCTCTTTAATCAGCAGTAACCATCAGTTAATTTTCCGCACCATACTAAATTTTCAGTTTGGATTGGGAGAAAAAAGAAGGAATTTCCTGTTAATAATTAAGTTAATGATAAGCTAAAATTTTGAAATCTTCTGAAATTTCATTAATTAACACTTATCAGCTATTAAAAATTAAATATTAAATAATATCTTTCGTTTTATTTTGCAATTAACACATCTATTCAAAGAAATCATTAGCACATCTTCACTTTCAGTGAATAATTTTGCTAATCTTAAGTTCTTATTTGAAAATGAATTGCTAAGGGAATTTTGCGTGGTTTATTCTTTTTTATTTTTTTTTTCCATTATTTGAAGCGCTGTTGAGTGCTTCGCATGAAAATAAGCAATAAGTTAGCTTTCTTACTGTTCGCCAAAATAAGTAAGTTATTCGGTTCAGCTGAATTTTCATTATCAGTACCATTCATTTCTTCTCTTTTTTAAACTTATTATAATAGTTACAAAAATAGTATCATTGATTACATCAAAATAAACTAAATATGATTAAGTGCTAATAATAATTATTATAACAATAATAATACCATTTACAACAATAATGATTAATAATAATAACAATAGTAATAATAATAATAAATAAAATATAGAGTAAAAGACTAATTTGTAATGTTGTGTGCAAATTTTATGGTATAACTGCAATGACTAAAAGATGTAAAAGACAAGAGAGAAGAAAAGGTAGGGAAGAAGTAAGAAAAAAGTAATAATAGCAATATTTGAAATTAAAAATTTCGTTGATTTCTATTTCCAGTAGAAAAATTCGCTTACTTCAAATTGCTTTTATAAATGAAGGAAAGGAAAGAAAACGAATTTTTTTTTTTGTCTTTTATTCTTTTAGATACCGCTTCTCGTATTTATCAATAAAATGGATGAAAAAGGTGCAATGACAACGTCGGAAATTAACGATAATATAGGCTTAAATTCGATAAATAATCGAAATTGGCGTATCTGCGCAACATGTGCAATCACAGGTGAAGGCCTCAAAGATGGCTTTCAATGGTTGTTGGAGAATATTCGAGCATGTACGGAATCTAAGAATAGTTGAAATTAACAAAAGTAAATTTCACATTCGCTAATCGTTTCATCTACTAATTATTCATATCAAAGATATATTTTTACAATATATATATATATATATATATAAATGTTTGAATGTATTATAAAATATAATCATTAATTTATAATTGAATTAAAATTTGATTGGAATACTTTATTTTTACTTTTTTTTTTTTATTTTGAAGAAATAAATGAATAATTTGTGTAAATTACATCATTTCACATGTCTTATCATTAAAAACTATGAAAAATTTTGCAATATTTTATATTAATGAATATAAGTAAGTAAACTCATTACAAGCAATATTTTTTTTCTTTGTTGGAAAAATTAATAATGATACGGATAATTTTCTATAAGTTTAATATTAATTAGTTTCCTTTTTCTTCCTTTTCTATAAACTAATTGTTTTAACTGCAAAAATTCAAGATTTGGTTTCTTCTATTTTTTTCTATATTTCATTTCATTATGCATAATATAATGTTAAATTAAAAGGATAAGTGTTAGATAACTGTAAAATGAGTATGAAAATTTTAACAAATTTTGAAAAGTTTCCAAAAGTGATTAATTGAAAACTATGCATCATTCTCATTCTTAATTTGCATAAGGATGAATGAATGAGTGCTTCATCCTTTTGATAATTTATACACAATGTAATAGAAGCAAAAACTGTGAAAAGATATGCGATTGAGCATTGTTGATTTATTGTTGTGAATACATTATTCACGAGGACAGCTCAAGGCGACATCGGTAATAAAATATGACCTGACCGACAAACCAGCAACAACAATAATACCTTCATCTTTAAAACTGAAAAATCCACCGGAAATTATCGTTCATTCATTTCAATTCCATATATGTATTTATAAAGTATAAATGCAAAAATTTTATTTTCCAGTGAATGAACGTTTGAAATTGTGGGAGAATCAATTAGTATTGTCAAAGAAGTTATAACTATATGAAAAAAAAAAAAAAAAAAATTAGTTGAATTTTCAGAAGTTATAAAAATTTACGAACTAATTGAATTTTCACTTACCCATTTTTCTTGTTTTTTTTTTTTCTGATACTGAAATAACTGTATTTAAATTAAGTTAATTTAAAGCTAATGCAATTGTAATTGTAAATCAAATTAAGTTAATTTAAAGCTAATGTAAATATAAAGCAATTATAAATCAAAATAATATGGTTTTTGAAATTTTTATTTGAAATAATCAAAATAGGACACTTTTTGTGTTCTACTGTTTATGAAATTCATCTTGGTTTAAACAGAAAATTTTAATTTAATTATCAAAATTTACTAAAATTATCTTAGTTCTTACTTTTTCAACGCTAACTTTTAAATTAATAGCTTTCATGACATTTAGCACTTTTCGTTCTATTATTTTTTTCTCTAACGCGAAATAAATCAATAAATGCATTTTTTTTCTTTTATTTATTTCACAATTGAAATATTCACTTCTGAATTGCTAAGAAAAATGAAAAAGCTCATTGAAAAAGTGGCAAATTGAATAAAATGTTCGATAGAAAAGAGGAGTGAATCTAGTAATTAAATTATATTAAATTATAATTAAATTGCACTGATTAGAAGTTAACACTTACGAACAAAAACAATAAAAGAATGACATATAGAATTTGAATGATAATAAAAAACAGTTCGGATTAGAAAAAGAAATTTGTCATATTATTTGAAAAAAAAAATCGAAAAGATAATGATGAAGAAAATTACTGTATGATTTTTTATATTTTATAAGTCTAAGCACCAATAAGTATTTAACACTAATTAATTATTTGATTATTAATAATAATAGTATAAAATAGTAACAATAAGTAAAAACAAGAGTAATAAAAATAATAACAATGACAATAGTCATGATAATAATATCATTCTTACCAACACAACAGTAGTAAAGTTTATGTGATTATCAATATCTTCATCACAAAATAATCATTTTTTAAGTTATTAAAAACCTTAGTTGATTGGTGTTAATAAAATATTTCATAGTATTTTTATTCAAATTTTTCTTATCAAGTGAATAAACATTAGCATTGAGTACTATCGAGCGACTGATACGAAGTACTTCCGATGAAATGCCCTTACTATCAATTTATCATTTGTTTATATTATCATCTATACGTACAATAATTTTGAACTTTTTAAAATACAAACACTTTTTTTTTTTAATTTTCCTTTTCTTTTCTCTTTCCCTCTCTTCTTCTCTCTCCCTCCCTCTCTCTCTTTCAAATGAAAGAATATTGTACAATAACGCTATTGAAAGCATTTGGTGGTAGACGATCATAAAATCCCCGGTCAATTTAGTTCCAGTGTAACCGATCTATTATTTTCCACTCATTATTCATCGGGCAAAGAATAGGTAAGGAAGTAATTGTACTATTTTGGTTAGGATGTGAAGTAACGAATTTTTATTACTTTTATTTGCCTTATAGAACTACTACTGCTACTAATACTGCTACTACTATTATTACTATTGCTTTACTAATCTAAGTAACTTTTGCTAATAATTATTAAGTATTATAGGTATTATCACATTTTCACTTATATTTTCTTTATTTTTGTTATTGTTTTTTTCAGAAGGAAGCAAAAAAAAAAAACGCTTTTAGTGTTATAAAAATAAATCATTAATTTGTTTTTTTGTTTTTTTTTCATCGTTTTTTTTATAAACTACTTAGAAATAATTAATGCAAAAAAAAGGAAAAGAGAAAAAAAAAAGAAATTTGGAAAAAGAAAAATACTTTGATGATATACGGTAATAAAATTCTCAAAAGGTTAACCATATGTCATTTTTTGTGTAAGAGCGGAATGTTACTAGTTTATCTTTATATTTATTTTTCCGGAAAGGATATGTGTTACGGTCATTGAACACTCACAATATCATTTCATCACATTGCTTCATTAAATTTCATCACTAATTGGCTTATCCAATAATCTCAATATTATCGGTCGGAATTCCTTTTTTTTTTTTTTTTGTTGTTAGAAAAAGTGGTTTATTATTATTTTATTTATTATCACTATTCTTCATCTTCTTCTTATTATTATTATTGGTTTTATATCATGAAGTACTGGTTTTATCGAAATATATAAATCGATTAGCATGGTAACAAGCTCATTGAAAATTTATTCAAGCATTAGTTAAATCATATGTTTATTTCAGGATAAGTGGTAAAGCAAAATAAAACATGACATTTTTTGTCAATTAAAAAACTGCATGAAATGAAAATCGAATGAATCTATAGAAAATATAAAATTGCTGAAATTTTTTGTTTACAGAAAACCATTCCGAAGATTTTATAAATATAAAAATTTCAATAATCTATATGCATATTATCCACACTTGACTATTCCCTTATCATAAATAAAACAACATGGACATTTCATATCATACAAATCTTCTCTTCTACTCATTAATTGGTTAGATCCCTAATCTATTATCAGTAGCAATTTACGATTAACATTAAAGAGCAATTTTAGCATTTCGGTATTCCTAGAAATGAAATGGAACTAAATTTGGTGATAATAATTAAAGTAACATAATTATGATGAAATAAAAAAGGGATCAAAAAAAAAGAAAGGTGAAAGAAATATATTAATAGTGTAGGGTTGATCACATGTGGCGTTGTGTCAAAATCGTAAATCTTCTCTGAAACATTTCGGGGTTAACTTTATCCAGAAAATAACCATCAACTATTATATTGGTTTAATTTAAAAAGGATTTACCGCTGGTAACATATCTCATTTCTCCTTTTTCCTTTACCTTCTTCCTTTTCTGTCTTATTTTCTTCTTCATATAACTTTTTAGGATGTTTCTAAAAGGCGGAAAAAGTGGGGTAAATGAATAAGAAAAAGGAGAAGGAAGAGGAAGAGGAGCAGAAGAAGGAAAAAAAAAATATACGTACGAGAGAGGATACACGGTAGATTGAATGACGCCACGCCCAGAAAATAAAAAAATTTTTTGGTACACTTCTTAAAAACGGTCCCATCCATATTGGACTAATCTTTAAACGAAGCAAAAAGGTAGGCTTCAAACGGTAATGCCATTTCACAACATAGTTACCATTATTCTTATTCTTATTTTTATTGAATATTTATTATTGTTATTTTATTATTATTATTATTATTATTAGTTATTAATTATTATTGTTGTTATGAGCATTAGCATTATTGTTATCACTATTATCATTATTATTAATTTAGTGATAGTAATGATATTGTTACCTGCTACTAGCGAAGATATCAACATTCAGGATTGGTTGTCAGTATCATTGTTATCATTGTCACTAGTACTGCTGTTTTTTGTTTTTATTGTTATTATTACAATAATTATTATTATTATTGTCAGTATGACAACACCGCCGAATTTTAACAGTGTGGCTATGTTACCTGGTGCGTCGTATTTCTATCCAACAACGGCATCACAAGCATCACCTAAATGGCTTACCGATGGAAATCATAATCATTATCATCTTCATCATAATTATCATCAACCGAATTCGGATGATCAAATCCCACGAATTGTTAGTTCGAGTGGTTTTCGAACTTTACCAGCAACCGATCATCTTAAATATTCTGCCGATGTTCGATGGCCTTCCGAATTTGCTTATTCGATACCAGGTATTCATCCAGCTGCAGCTGCAGCAGCAGTCGCTTCAGTTACTCCGTCTGCATCTGAAGCATATCCCACTGATCCATTTCCATCTACTTCAATGGCACAATTATCCGGTAACTGTTGCTTGAGTCGCTTTGATAATACCGGAAGTTGTTATTATCCAAATCCTGTCCTAGCATCTCCGTATACTACTCCAACAGCTAATGAACATTTTGCCGCTGCGGAACATATTGCTCATTGGAAGGTAAATTTTCAAAGAATTTATTTGAAAAAAAAAAGAAAATGATGCAAACTTAGACAAATTAATGATTATTTACACATCCATTTAATCATTTAAATCACCATAACTTTGCATTTGTAAAGTTAAGAAATCCAAAAAATTGAAAGTAGAAACAAATTTGCATTTTACATTTGAAATTGTAATAATTTCAATTCTTAAGAAACTGAGACCACATATTAGCTCAACCTATATTTCATCATTTTGTAGGTTCCAACTCTTGCTTATGCATCATTAAATGGCAAACGATCAGCGACAATTCGCCTCCAACAACAGCAATCTACTTCACCACCATATCGTACAGGTCCCGGTACTAATAGTAAGCATTTCAGCATTTTTATCAATTTGTATTTCTTCATTTCTTTCTCTTTGTGCTTATTTAATATTTTTCCCTTTTCTAGTAATTACTTCGTATAAAACTTACGATATCATTCATGAAAAAAACAAATTGATGGTAATTTAAAAAATTTATATAGAATTACTCCATGTTTCAAAGTAAGAAAAACTTTTTTGAAACGCATAATATCTGTTATCAATAAAGTAGAAATGATAAGGACATATCATATCAATATGACTTTCCATACAATTAAACCTTCAGCACTTTTTTTCATCCTCTCCTTCTCTCTTCTGTCCATAAAGAATAATTTTCCTTTCATTTTTTTGTCACATTTTAAAAATTATAAATTGATAAGAGATGGTTTCTTTTTCTGCTCCGATATTATTTAAAAATTTATTCAAAATTTATAATAGCTGTCATTTTTCTTTATTGCATATTTTCATAAAGATAAGAAAATGATTAATTAGAAATAATAAATAAGATGAATGTGAATAAAAAGTACAAGTCATCAATATGGTTGCATATTTGTGCCAGGTAAAAAAGTTTTAATCATTTTAATCTCTTTCTTATTTGTTTTTCTCTTATTGACTTTGACAAAAAAAGAAAGTGAAAAAGTAACCTGAAGTATTGTTATAGTAGAAATAATTTGTAAAGATAAGCTATCACTATTATCATTATGAAATGTATTAAATGAACTTTATTATTGATTCAAAATATACTAAATGAACTTAAATAGAAGATTTGCCGGATATTTTCTTTTTTATTTTGCTTTTTCAGTGAACACACTGGCAAGATACTTGTAATATTTATTAGTCATTAGCGCTTTTTAAAAAATTTAGCTAGAAATTAATAGCAATATTGTTAATAGCTCAAAGTATTATAGTTAATTAGTCACATATAATTAAGGATCAATAATTATTACGTGGTAATAATTTTGTTTTTTTTTGTTAACTTAATAATTATTTTAATTTATAACAATGCTGATCGTTCCCCTACTCGACAATCGATAACTTATAGTATCTTCTATTTCTTTTCTCAATAGTTAAATGAGAAAAAAAAAAAAGAAAAACGAAAAAGAAATTGCCAGAAACAAACTATTATTATTGTAATCATAAAATATGCATGGCGGATAATAATAGATTCTCGCACCAGAAGAAACACCGGTAGTTGTAAAAATTCCACATCGATGAAAAAGTAAGGTTATTTGAATGATTTACAATGGCATTAGCTGACATTTCGATGTATGTTTATACTTTAACTTCAGATACACGTGCGTATATATATACGCACACGTATAGATCGTTTCCTTTTTTTTCTTTGTGAGATAAAATAGAGAGTAGAAAAGAGTGAGAGAAGAAAACAGGGGAATGATACCAAATGCTGAAAATGATATAATGACAATTGAAAATTTAGACGATGTACTATGGAAATAATTTAAACAATTGCTATAATTAACATTACTTATGAAAAAAAGATAATCTAAAAAAATTTTTTTTAATCTTAAAATAGTGTCATCTTCATCATCAACTCCAATTACTTGATGGTATATTTATCAGTAAATGCCTAATACTTCATTCAGCATTTAACAACTGTTTGTCTTAGAATGCTTGATTAGCTCTAATCAATTAGTGAAATGGAAGAAATGAAAAAAAACATAGTTTTAAAGCCAATATACTTTTTAAATATGATAAAGATTCTTTGCCTTTTTTTATCTAAAATAAACAGATAGAGCATTAATTAAATGCTCGAGTGACATTAAATTAGTTCAAATAATTGTGGCATATTTATTGTAAGTTATCAATTTAGGTAAGTATTGAAAAGTTTGATCAATGAATTACAGTATTCCACTTTTTCAGTAAATTGGGAGATATTAATAATTGTTGTTCAATCTACCGTAACCCACCTTTTGCGTTATGTCGTTGTTTGGAGGAATTATCCTTGAAGGTCACCTGACTAATCATTTTTCCAAATACTATTGTTATGTAGTGCGGGGTTTCCAGGTAAGAAAGGAGAAGGATGAAAGTCATGAATAGATAGGTAATTGTATGGAAACTTCTGCAAAGTTATGAAATTTCAATTGAAGAACTATTTCGAAATTTTCCCATCGTATAAATTACGATAACTTTGACAATATGAAATTTTAGTGTGAAGAAAAAGAATAAAAGAAAAAAAATTCGTAACATTTTCTTATTAAGAAATATTACAATGGGAAAAGTCAATTTTATAAATTTAAAGCGAAAAAGAGTTTATTTAAATTTTTGACAAAAACGAAAGCAAAAATATATTTACATTTTATTTCGTTCAAATTATTCTCTTTTTTTCTTCTCTTTATTCCAAAATGGAATAAAAATTTATATTTTTTAGATGTAAGAGTGCGAACAAGTGAAAAGTATCGTATGGTATATAGTGATTATCAACGATTAGAATTGGAGAAAGAATTTCGTACATCACAATTTATTAATTCCGAACGTAAATCACAACTTTCATCAGAATTGCAACTTACTGAAAGACAAATTAAAATATGGTTCCAAAATAGGTTAGTTTTCACGTGATAAAAAAAAAAAAGATTATGTTAAAAGTGATAAAAAATGATAATATGTTTGTATTTCTTTTTTTTTTTTAAGAAAATAATTTTAAAAAAAATTTTAAAATTTTTTTTAAAAAAAAATAATTTAAAAAAATAATATATATATATATTTATATATATATTTTATTGATATGTTATTTATTTCAGTCCGATGGTATAAGTTTTCATTCTTTTAAAAAATAACCTAAAAAGATTAAAGAAATAATAAATGAAATAATATTGATAATTATGGATATATCTTCTTTATCAAAAATGGAATTTGTAGAAGTTATTGCAGAATTTTTAAAATAGTCCGCTCTGTATTTCTAGTTTAACGATTTTTGTTATGGAAGAACTAATTAATTAATTAAGTGTGAAAAATTCACATTATCTGTTTCAAAGATTATTAGAAATACTCCTGCTTTTTTGACTTAAACTAAATTGTCTTTCCAGTGAAAAAGAAAAAGTAAATGAATTCAATTTAATTCAGTTATGTATTTATTTTCTCTAATATTTGCTGATTTTCGCTTTCTATTTAAAGACAAAATCTATTCATTAAATTCAAATCCATAAATTACCGATAATTTTTAAAACGAAATATTGACAATACTATAAATTAATCAATTAATATTTTAGCCGACAAAGTGTTTTTGTTAATCAAGATAATGAGGAATCATTACATGTTTCATTAAGGTAAATTTGTTTGCACTGATAATATCACAATTCTATTCCTCCCACAACTTTCCCTCTTCTCCCTTCTTCCTTCCTTCCAATTTCGCGTTCACTTTTACCTAATCAAATGCTGGATAAAAGGAAGTGGAATATCGGAATAGAAGAAAGTGAGCCATTTGCTAAAAGGTTGCGACAATTACGCAATACAAAGATTTGATTTATGTTTTGGGACAGTTGCGCATATAGACAGATATGAAGTGTATAATAAAAAGTTGATCTAAGGATAAAAAAATATACACAAAAGATATTTTCTTCTTCTATTTTCTTCATCTTTTTTTTTCCATCAATATTTAATGAACATTTTAACCTTTTGTTAAAAAAAGTTTTTTCAAAAGAATTTTATTTTATTAAAAAGTGTACATATTCTTTATTTTATTATTATCGTTTTTATTATTACTGTTGTTGTTATTATTATTACTAACATTATCACTGTAGTTTAAATGAAGTAATCGATGAAATTAATAAAATAACTATCAAATCAAGTTTATAAATTGTTAATTTGACGGATATTTTGTTGGCTTATCCTTTATGTTATGCATTCATTTGTCCTTTAAAAGGTTTGTTTTTACTTTATTGCTAGAACTTAAAATCATTTAATTATGATATCTGATTAAAAGAAATTGCAGAAATAAAAATAATTACTTCAAATAAGTGTTTATTTTGATATTATCCAAGATTAATTAACTCATAAATATTTCTTTTATGTAATTTATCATTAATCATTCACGCTTACTTGCTAGATTTCATTTATATCTTAAAAAAAATATGAATATTTTCATAAATTTCAAGCATTCAAACTTCATTCTAACATTCTTCACATATATGATTGATCAATATTCTCTCCTTTTCTTTTTTCTTCTTTTTCTTTTGTTCGAATTTTTCAAAATCCCAATTAAACATGAAATTTTTGAAAAAGCCATTTTGAAATGCCTGAATCGCTTCTGGCATACTTTTATTAAACCGATAGATAATTAGTAAAATTTAAAAGAACGAAAAATAACTGTTGCACGTTTTTATGGCGTAGTAAACTATTAATTGCAACGAAAAATTTCTGGCGGCAAAATAAATCTATCAAATATTTCTCAAAAAAAGAAAATTTTAAAAAGTTATAAAATTGTTTTACTATCTTTTTTTTCTCTCTTTTACAAAGCGATTTGTATTTGACCGAAAGATAATTGTTGTAATTACTATGGAAACTTTAAATAATTTCAGGCAATACATTTCTTCGGTTTTCCTCATTACCTCTTTTCCTTCCCATTTCATGCTTGTTATAGATACACAATCATAAAATAATTTTTATTTTAAATTTTTTTTCAAAATTTTATTAATTTCACTATAGCTTTCAATGTGATATGTTGAAGTGATAAATACCCTATTACAAGTATTATTATTATTATTATTACTATTGCTATTTTATCATTATATTATCATTATTGTTATTGTTATTATTATTATATTATTATAATAATATTTTTATTTTATTATTATTGTTTTTATCGAAATAATTATGTCCAAATTCTTTATAAACCAAGGTAGTAAATTTAAACTAAACAGTTGCTGCCTAATAGCTTCGAATTTGTTTCAAAGAAAAAGTATTCAACAAAAGCGATTAATTTTATTGTCGAATTATAAATTTTTCAAAAAATGAAAATCTCGCTGTTTTTAGAATATTAAAAAACCAACTAAAATAACATTTTTTTTCGAATTGATGATTTTTAAACTTATGAATTTATCATTATAAGTAATGAAATATCGTTATTTGAGATTTTCATGTGAATTAATCAGCTGTTATCTTTTGTTTCCTCTGAAAAAAAAAAAAAAAAAAGAAAAGAACTTATTGCTAATTTTTTTTCTGCTCAGAATGCGCCAAATTTTTATTTATTCTAAATAATATTAGCTATAATACAATTTATCTTTGTAAGTATTGTTTGCGCTTCCTCCATTCTTTGCATCAAATTATCCCAGCTTAGATATCCTCTTAACCTTATTGCTACGGGGTCAGCACCTATTATACTTATCGATACATCTTCCGTCGTATGCTAATAATACTTTGTTTCTTTGTCGGCAATATTTGTATAAAAAATAATGAAAGTATTAAAAAAATTCATCCCTCTATACTCATACCATCTAGTTGGGACTGAGCAGGGACATTTCGAATTACTTTTAAATTATTTAATTATCAAAAAAAAAATTGGAGTGGATAGGAAAAAAGATGCAAATAGATGTAAATATAATAAAATGAAACCAAATGAAATTAATCAGAATCAGGATTGATTATTAAAATTGCCATGAACCAATTTTAAAAATTAATTTGAAAACAATTTAATGAAAAAATTTGAATTTTGTTGCATATATTTGAGATTAGAAAAACAGTTTAATTTAAGTGATTTAAATAAATAATTTAGATGACTTTTTTATTTTACCACACTTTTTATTTTTCCCAACAATTAATTTTTTGCTAAAATTTTTTTTTAACTTCGTAATGTTATCTTTAATTCATTTCTGAAATTGGTGCTTGTAATTTCAATAATCCGTTCTAATTTTGATAATTTCATTTATCCTCTTTTCTTAAAAAAAATATTCACTCTAATTTGTTGGATTTAATTTTTTTTTTTGGACATTTTTTTGGAATGAACAGTTTATCCATACTTTTTTTCAATTAATTTGGATAGAAACATATTTAAATTTAAAGCAGAAATTTCGAGCCTAAAGTTTTTTTTTTGATTGTCACACTTCACTAATAATTCCAACTTGAATTTGTTTATTTACAGGAGAGCAAAAGATCGTCGTGAAAATAAGAAGACGAGAATGGTGTGAAATATTTATTGAACATTTGATAGCTTCCGCTAATCATTTTTTTTTTTTTTTTTTGTTAAATTATTATTATGCGTGTTAAATTTTTTAAATAATTTAATAATTAATCATAAAATAATAAAGTGTTATACCATTTTTGTTAATTTTTTTCATCACTTATAATGTTTAATAATGTTTTGCTCTTCAAATAACAAAAAATAATGCTCCAATTTTTTTTCTTAGAAACAAAAAAAATTACTTCATAAGCAGGTATATTAAAACAATCAATAGATTAATTTTATTTTTAAATTTAAAACAATAAAAAATTTTTTTTGTTGAAATGATTCAACAGAATTCTTTTTAAACAATACAGAAAACATGAAATAGAATGATAAAATTATTTCCCTCATAGCTATTATACCTAAGTATATTTGTTACTTAATTCATATTTGTGCCAACATATGTTGTTAAATTTTAATCTTTTCCTTTTTCAAATTTTTTTCAATCTTTTTTTTAAATTTTTTTCAATCAAAATGTTAATTATTCTTTAGCATTAATTCACTTATATATCGCCAGGAAAGTCTGTGATTTAAATGTACCTCCTTATCATTTCGCTTTTTTTCATCCTTTTCTTTTTCTTTCTCGTTAAAGTAATAAAATTACTTTTGATTTTCTTCATTTTGCTTATGCTTATTAACAATTTCAGTCTCATTATAATTCACTTTCTCAAATGTACTTACATCAATTTATATATTGATATGTATATATATGTATATATATATATATATATATATATATATATAAATATAATCACTTACGCAGGTTATTATACAAAATGAATTCAGGGTTCACTTTTTTCGTTTTTTTTTTAATATCACATGATTTTCCATGCAATTTATCCATGTCAATTTCATATTTGATATTACGGGATTACCGTATACATTATTTCTAATTACTGCTAATTATTTAATTCTGATAATGAAGTTTCATATCTCTTGTTTTTCTTTATGATTCGCCATCATTATCATTATCATCACCATCCATCACCATCATCAATCATCATCATCATTGTCATTTAAATGCCACATTGTTTTTATGGTGTATTAATGTGAAATAAACGGAGCATAATTATTATAAAAGGATGAATGATTATTGAGGATTACTTAATGATTAGACATTTTGCAAAATTTAAGATTTCATAAATTGAATTTACTATTAAGTAAACTAGAATAGTTCGATACTAACTGAACTGAAGCAATTAATCATATTATTCAGCATTATATTTTGGTATTTGTTTAAAATTTTTGTGCTCAAAAATAAAAAAAAAAAACAATGAAAAATGAATAATTTGGAAATTTAACGAATTCAAAAATTGTTGATCATTTTTTTAAATTAGAATTTCTTTAAAGATATAGAAAGAGGATATAAATTTAGTTCATTCATTAAAAATAAAGGTTAAACAAAAGAGAAAGTAAAAAAATATTTCAGAGCAATCTAAAGTATAGTTTATGATAAAGTAAAAGAGAATTGATATAACAAAAAGCAAACACCGACGCGCTACGACAATTACGCAACAAACAGATTTGATAGATTTGATTTCCTTAGTTTTTTCACACGTGTACGTTTTTCGCATTGTAAATTGCAAATAAAAAAAATGTATCTTTCGTAAACATTGAAGGGGCTTTTTTAATTTTTTTCTTTTTTTTTTTAAATTATTAATCTAATAATTGATTGTTTGCAGGGCAATAATTCCTACTTTCCGATCGTTTTATAAACTTTTTTACTTATTACTTGATTTATTTCTCAATAGTTACTTACTTTATGACCATACTCGATTAATTTAAAACTTGATTTGAAATTACCATGCACAATCATTTTTACAAAAGTACATAGTATTTAACAATTACTTTTTTAAAGGCAAAATTAAAATTTAATAGACATATTAATTTCAAGAATTTTCTACCACATATACTATGGTGCAAAAAAAAAAGATACGAACTGACATAATTTATACGCTTTATATGCTTTACTGAAATTAACTTCATTAGTGATTTTAAAGTTTGTGTTCAGAACAAACTTCAAATCTGCATAACAATTGATTTTATAAAATTCTTTTGAATTATTCCTTTTTAAAAATTAAACGATTGTAATCAAGTTGAGGGAAATGGATGATAGCGTAAAAGAATTTATCAATACTGCCATCATCATCATCAGGTAAACTTAGTTCACTGTCATTAAATTTATCATTAAACATTATATAAAAATCGGTTTTCGCATAAATGACTGAAGCAAAAGCGTTTATTTCACATTTTTTTTTTTTTTTTTTATAGTCAGTACTAATTATTAATGAGCAAATATTAAATAGGAAATAGAGTTATAGATACAAATTATATAATATTTCCCTAGCAAGGACAATAGTAATCTCGTGAGGGACAGGAAGAACGATACATAAACAAAAAAATTTTTTACACATATTAATGTTTTCCGCGAAGCAGTCAACGAATACTTACACAAACAGCGAACACTTCCAAATTCAATTTGGAATTTTTTTTCTTTGATTCCTTGATATAAACCAAAATTTATGAAAATTCTGAGGCATTAAGAAAATTTCGTTTATCTAAAAAGACTATACCAAGAGTAAAAATAAGTTGGACTGCCACATTTAATCACATAAATAAAAAAAAACTTTCTTTCTCATAATAATGTTACTGTTATTCTTAAATTAAATTATATTAAATTATATATATATCTTAAATTATATTTTCCGCATCTAATTGCACATATAAGAAAGAACTTCACTAGAAATAAATAAATATAATAAGCCATACATAATATACTGCGCGAAGCACTGCACACGACCAAGACATGTATTCAAAGCACAACAACGCTTGATTTAAAATACGAACAAAAGAGTGCATCTGACTTTTGGACAATTTTTTAGAATATAAGCAGTGAAATCACAGAATCAATATCATAAATTTCGCAAATCCAATCAATTTATCCTTCGCTTTGCTCATAGATTAAGCATATGATAACGAAAAGCTTTTCATGTACAGAAATTATCGTTTGTTTAATTTTCATCAAAATCATGGATCAGCTATATAATTAATAAAATATGAAGAAACTAAACTATTAACCATGGTAGACTAATCAAGTCAACGCTTGAGCATAATATTATTAAGAAGTGATAAATGGATGATATGCGAAGGAATAATGCAAACAGTATGAGGCAATAGTGTAGCACAAAAAAATCAACAAGCAGTATCTATCTATTTCTGTCCCCGTATTTTATAGAGCATATATTAACACAAAGAAAAAAAAATTTCTGGATTTATTAATTCAAATATGAAATGACAAAAGAAAGAAAGTTCTCATTCTCTAAGCATCAGTTCCTACTTAGGCAATAGGAATGCACTGCGACATTAATCGCCATGGAAAATATAATGTGGAAGTAAGAATGAAACTAAGATGATTTTTAAGCAAAATAAAATAGAGCAACAAATTACTATTTTCTTTGAGCTAACAATAAAATTTCAATTGAATGAACAAAAATGTTATTAAGCGAACTCTCATAATGTTGATGTTTGCGACGATATATTGCTATAATTTAGTTTTCTTCTCTTACTCGAGTTAATCCATTCTCTCATAAAATAACAAATAAGCACTTTTCTTATCAACGTGCGATTCTTTCACTGCCTAGAATAAAACTCCTTTACAACACCAAATTATATTTATATAATTTTAACATAAAATTCGATTCGCACATAAATTCTTAAACTATGATCAAAAATCAACCTGACAACGGCTATCATTGAAACTAAACCACTGATTATTATTCTTAGCATAAGCAACGTAATGACCTGAAGCCATTGCACCGTAATGGTTCTGAAAAGGAAAGATTAATCATAATGTTTGGGATTATCTAACCATTTAACTGTAATTAGAAAAAGATTTCATATATATATATTCCAAGCTTACCGCAATAGCAAAACAACTGTATTTAGTTGATGTCTTAACGTCCGGATCTCGAAGCCATTCTCTGAGATCCAAATTTTCCAGTGGAAAATCTACTACTTTACAAGATTTCATCCATCGTCGTTCAGATTTTACGCAAACAAATCTCTTGAAGTGTATAATCTGCAAAAAGAAAAAAGAAATGAAATGTAAAAGTTCCAAACCCAGTATAAAATTATGACAACAACATCAAGTATCTGTCATTCGAAGGTATATATGGTTTAAGGTCAAAACGAAAAAGCAATCATATAGACGATGCAATCACTCAGTTAAGCATTTACATGTATGATAAGACGACATCAAAATCATTTATTCTATAGCCTATTCTCCAAGTAGATAGTTATATTCATAAAAGTGAAAAAAAATAAAATTTACTTCTGTGGTAAATAATAAAAACAAACCAATATTTTAGGTAAGCGCCAAATCGCCAAAGCTTTCGTTGTTGGACATTTTTTGCCACACGGCTTGCACATTATTACATCATCTAAACGTTCTGCTTGCATGAAATCATTCAAACATGAAACCAACGAACACGGTCGATAGTGCACTTCCCATGCTTGTAATACAGATCCATCATCTCGGCATAACTTGAAAAAAAAGTTACAGTAGCGCAGTAATGTGTAATGATGTGATAAGTAATGAACAAAAAGTACAGCTTAATCATTACATTAGGAGAATATTTTAGCTAGACCCTTTCTTTTCTCTTAATTAAAAAACTGCTTCATTTTCTGTTTGTCTTAGCTAAATCTACTGCTTTGTGAATTTCTAATTAACAATTGCAACCAGCACAACGGCACTTTAATGATTATTAAAAATTTTTTACAAAATATCAATGATCATAATAACTATTATTACATTATTATGATCATATTAATCATCAACATTTATATTACGGATTATAACCTCTTCTATGTCATATTAAAATGAAGAGAACATTATGCAAGAAGATAGAAGATAAAATTCACTAAAGTAGAATGATGTAGATAGATTCTCAACATTATGAAGGAAAGATCAATTAAATCGTAAATATCTAGAAGTATTTATCATTTTCACAATAATACCTCACTAAAAAAAGCAAACACAAAGTAATATGTAAATTTCCTTTGTAGCAGATACTACAATTCTAACCAATTCAACGGAATGTTGATAGCGTAGATAGAGAGCAGTTGGTTTCCAGTCGATTGCAACTGCCATTAAGTTATCCTCAATAATTTCATCGTTACTCAAAATCACACAACCACGACAAAATGCTGGCCATGCACATTTTGAACACCATTCGAATGATAATTTCACGCAACATAAATCAAATGGATAACCATTTCGAATGTCTTCTGCTCTAAAAAAAGAAAAAAAAAAATCGTAGATTTTGATTAATAACTGCTGCAAACTATCAAATACTTAACAACAATAATAATATAAAAATACAAACAGAAATATTTCAAAAATTGTTAAAGTTATCAACATTTGGAACTATTATTATATTTGAAAAGATAATGGTATGCAAATTAACTGTAATATAAAAGCAATAAATGGATAAAAGAATAATTGAATAATTCTGAGTTATACTTCACCAAAATGAACTTACGCATCAATAGCACGGTTTGCTTCTCTAGTACGCTGCTGTTTCCCAGCACTGCCATTTTTTAGGAACCGTGAAACATGTAGCCAGACTTCTTCATATAGCTTATTACCAGTTGTTTTGCCCTACAAATATGAAATATAAGGTTAAAAAATAATATTTGAATGTGCATTTCCAATACTACTAACTAGGAATATAAAGTATTCCTCACCAGCATTATCAGACAGAAAAATTCTTTATCTAGAAAAATGTAACTAACCGGTGTAAATCTTAAAATGAGTGGAACACCAAAAACACGAGCGGTACAACCACGTGTTGCGCCGAGCAAATATGAATCATTGTATTGCTGTAATTACAATAAAAAATAAACAAAAGATTCGTAACTTATATAAAATATGAAAAGGTATAGCAAAAGAATGAACTAAAAAAATATGGCTACTTTACGAAATACTGCTACATTATAATATGCAATATAATCCACAATCAAATATGCCATCAAAAAACCTAATTATTATAATCCCGAGTCAAAATATACCTAAAGTTAGCATCCATTAATGTATGCAATAGATAAACGATAGAAATAAAATTTGCTCAAACATTTGCTTTTATTTTGGAAGAACTACCATTTTACGATGAGCTGCAATAACTGTTGGTGCCGCTACGAAGCATTCTGAATTTGACTGATCTTCTTCAGCAGGCAATTCAAATGCATAAAGCAGTGCATCATTTGGATAAACATTAATAGAACTGTTATCATCATCAACTGATTCGCTAACTCCTTGCTAAATATAAATAACCATCGAAAAAAACAAAGATTTAAAAATAAAAATAACTTTTAAAAAGTAGATGAGAAAGCAAGTCCTTGGATTTAGTGTAGTGATGAAAAGTGCAAAAAAAAACTGCAGAGTTAAAATATTAACTCGCCAGTTTCACTCGCACTTATTATCCCACCAAGTATATATACATTTTTCGAGGTATAACCAAATGAGTAGTTATGATTTTTCTCTTGGATGTTATTTTGTTATTATATTTTAAGAAGCAAACTTCTATTATAAGAAATTAAATAATGATTTGATTAGTTGATGACTTATTTGAGGGTAATTCATTAAACAAAAATAAACAAAAAAACAAAACTTAGGATAAAAGATGATAAAATTATAAGTTTATAAAATACCATCATTTGGCCTGCGCGATTCAGACAAAGAATTTGAAATGAGTTAGAGAGTAAACCAGAAGCATTTGCTAGTTTCATTTTGAACATGCCGATCGTTGTATCGCAGCTTAAGCGAAAAGCATAACGTATAGGAATTTGTCCGTCACGCTTGACCACTGTAGTAAACAATATGTTGCATTATAGCTTGTTATTTTTAATACAAGATACTCAAAAAAAAAAAAAAAAGAAACTTACCGACAACTGAGATAAGAAGCAAGTGATCAATAGGTATGGGCAGCTGCAAGCAAGTGAAAGCGTCAAATCTGGAAACAAAAACCTCTATTTAAACAAAACTGTGATATCAAAGCAAATACAAACAGATGAAAAGTTATTTTACCTGCATGATATGGCATTGCAATTTAAACAAGTAAGTGTTGAACGCAATTGGCCCGTAAACAAATCAACAATAATACTTTTATCTCGTTTTAAGTGAGCATCCCAAGCCTAAAAAACATAATACCATAAATTCATATCATCCAACAAACCCAGCATTATTGAAAACATTCATGTCTTTCAAAAGTAATCATGTTCCTTTATATAATTCAATCCAAGCAAAACACAGCAACACAGAAACAGAGCAAAATACCTCTTTAGCAACAATAGAATCAGGACGACCATCGCTGTCGTTGAGTTCGATGAATGGCTTGTTTTCAATTTGATTCAAATCCTCATGTAATAAATCCAGCAAAATTGACAAAAACTCTTGACAGTCGTGTTGTGAACGTTCAGCAAATACTGGACCAGCACATCTAATCGCATCCTAGAAAAAAATGGAAATTAAGATTACTGTTTCGAAATATTTCTCCCCTAACATTTTCGCTTTTGTTCGTTCATTTTTCTTCTTGTCTTTTTTTTCTTTTTGTATTCCGAATAAAGTTACATACAGCATGACTTCTGCTAGACGATGCGCATCATACAATGTCATTTAATGAAAGAAATGAGAAAAAAGGAAAATTCAACAGATTCTTTTTTATTCATATTATTTCTGCACACCCAAACGAGTGTGAGATTAAAAGAGGTATATACATTACATGTTAGATACGATTGGATCAAAAAAGTTAGGCATGATATGTCCAGATCAACAGGATTAAAAAGATTTTCTCAATGAATTTACAGAATTTTCGAAAGTTTTATTCCAGTAAGCAAAAACGATGAACGCAACAAAAAAATTTAAGAAACAAGTTACTAATAACGAATGAAATCATCAAACACTTGTTTCAAAAGATTTTAGAAGGAAAAAAAGAACCCTTACGCGTAATTTTATAGGTGCAATATTACGTTTTTTGCCGGACCACAATTCTTTCACAACGTTGGCATATTCCATAGCTACCATGCCTTTTGATTTTAACCTTCAAAAAATATAAGTAAAAAAAAGCGCACATGAAAATATTTTAAACGAATTATATATTTTCCTTATCAAAAGTAATATTAACCTTTTCATATCATCTTTGTGCCGGCCTTCAATGAAATAATTTGTCAGTGGTCGTGTATTACTGAGACATTGCAGAGCACTATTCATATAGCATGTATTACCCATGTTGTAGAGGCCAGTAATGCCAAGAATATATGACGAATCCGAATTGTCCGTTGTGTAACCTTCAGCATTGCTGCTTTCCAAACAGCTAACCTCTTCTGGCCAACTCATGTCAGCGTTACGTAATTCCAGAAGTAACTGGAAGTTCATTTAGCTAAAATAGTAAGCACCAAACATTTAATGCAATAAATCTGCCTGTCTTAAATTTTCATTATGAATCTCTATACTAATAAGTAATCCACAGCTGCATTGTCTTAAACTCCATTAAATTAATGTTGATTATGTCTAAGAAAACTACTGTTGTAAAGTTATGTAAAGATGTCTTATAACACACTATTCTCCAACTCATAATATTAACAAAGTAGAACGAAATAGGATACAGTAAATCACATAGCCACAAGAACAAAAAAATAGCGTACCTGTGCACTTTGCTGAATTTTGAGATCATTAAGAGTAACTGAATCGTTGTCAAGCAACCGCTTGCATGGTGAACCGTCGATTTCAACAGTCCATAAACGAGCTGATTCCACATCACTTATGTGCAGCTGATGCGCCAGAAGTTCAAGTAATTCTTCAATAGTACAAATACGTGACTCGGATACTACACACCATGGTAATCGGCGAAGGGAGGATTCTTTATTCCATTCTGAAACGCGAAAATTCATTAATTCTTGATAGCTTAATGAAGTAATGGTCACTACTAGCTCAAATTTATTGGCTGAATGTCCCTTGAATTCGCACTGCATATATTTTAAGAAAAGTTCATGAAAATACATTAAGGAACACCATAATTAAACAAACCGAAAGCAGAATGTAACCAGCCTCCAGTAGCAGTACCATGTCTTAGAATCAATAAAGTTAGTGGATATAGCTCGATAATAGGTTTTGTAGAATTCACCGCTGTCGGATCTACAATTCTTGCCGGAAGAATACGTCGTTGAAGTGAAATACCCTCACGAGCAGCACTCCCATGCCAACGTAACAGCGCTTTCCAGAGACAAGGTGCTACAGCTTCAAAATCCTTATTTATAACCAAGTTTTGTGCTAAAGGAGCACCTTCGTTGGATAAAGACGGAACCTAAAAGTAATAAAATGAAGTAAATAAAAAAGAGAGAAGTAATATTTACGATGAAAAATACAAGCCTGATTATTATGAACTGCTTACTGAATGGATCTGTTCCTTTATTTTTATATTATTAATTCGCAAAAATATGCCGTTAAAAAAGTGTGACGAAAAGACCTTGTAAGACCAATCATTTTTCTGTTTTACAGTAATAATTGAAGCATTATTGATGGGCGGCACTTTGGAATTTGACATCAGCGCGTGCACCCATTGTCGCCACCATTCCGATGAAACAATATTCCATTCAGTAAACGCATCCAATTGAACACGTTGCTTGAATCCACTTCAAATGAAACAAGTGAAATAAGATAAATCTCTGGAAGAGAGAAGTGTTCATGTACTTTATGGACATTTTTATAGAGTATAATCATCCATTAAAAATAAAGTTTTATGCAAAATATTAAAAAAAAAAGTCAAGTCAGTAATGTCTTTTTTGATAATTTAGAATTGTGAATAACCTAACATACTTCAAAATCCGTACATTATAGCGATATTAAAGCTGAATTTGATGCTGTTCCGATAAATTTCTATGAACAATTTAAGAGCTCACCAAACAACCGTCAATTCAACCTCAGCAGAACTTGGATGCAATCCCAAACAAATATGTCCAAGCTGAAACATTTGAAATGATTTATTTCGATGAACATGTTTAGCTTAATTGAGTATGAAAAGAAAAATTCGAATTTCAAATAAAAACCTGAACAATTATTTCAAGCAGATTGTCCACACATTTTGTCTCGTTTGCCCAACAAACAAAATCTGTCAACGACGCATGACCCAATTCATCGGCATGTATAGTTTGTAAAGTTTTGTCCTATAAAACAATAGCAAACATAAAATTAAAAAGTAAAGGACCTCATGAGGAATGCATAAAACAATACAGAATTTCCTGAATATGAAAAGTACCTACGAGATTTAAATGAGCATAAAGGGAAAGAATGTCTTCTTTTGATAAATAACCATCGCCATCTGAGTCAAAAAGTTGAGCAATAACTGAAATAGTGTTAACAGCATCTATCATTAAAACTCCGCTTTTTTAAAAAAATCTTCTGAAATTTGTTTGTGGAATTATTACCATCAAAACCTCCATTTAAAGTGAATCATGAAAAAAAATTATTTCAAAAAAAAAAAACAAAGATTTAATTACAGTTAAGACGAGCAGTATGTGGTCCACGACAGGAAGCAGAAAGACCGCAGACGAGTTCTTTGAAATCCACCAATCCATCATCATTTTCATCAAATGCACGAAATAAGCCATTAATGAAATGGTCTGCAATAGCACCACCAACTAACGCACCAAAACCATTCCTAGTAAGTTTACATAATTTGGTATCGTTGATCGAACCAAAAACTTTCTCCAGCTCTTCCACCTCTTGTTCATCAACTGCAATTTCGAAAAATGAAATAGGGGATATATGAATGTCGCTGTATAATTGCACCAGACGAGAAACGAAAAGATAAAAATGCGAAAACAAGAGGATTGTAGTTGTAAAGCGCATGAAAAGTCTCGGAATAGAATTTCGGAATCTTGTCACTCGAATCATAAACAAAAAGTTATAATAACGGTTAAGACTGAAATCTTAGTCAAGAATGTATGAAAACTCACGATGTGTAACGCCTGCAAGTACTTGATAGAAATTGTAGTGAATTTCCGAATGACGAGATGTCAGCTGAGGTGGCTGTTCGATCCAACTTTCTAAGTCACGTTCATTGTTTAGAAATTCTGGAAGAATTTTTCTCTAATGAGTTACTTCTCATAATTTGCTTACTTCAATTAAACTGTTAGTTCACACCAAAAACACTCGAAAAGATTAGCTATGTCAAGGAATCGCCTATTATCGAAAATCCCCCACATCAGTTAAATTTAAGATAAAAACAATATACCAAGTCGAATATTCTTATCCACCTTTGTTAGTATGACAATTCCAATAACAAAATATTGAAATGACAGTTTAGATGATCCCTGACAAAATTTGGCGAAAATACGTGTTCGTGTAGCACGTGGAATTCCAGGGTGACAAAGAACGTCGTTAAAAAATTCATCTTCCGCAATCTGATCTCGACCATCCCATGCCGTTTCCAAACGTTTCAATTCATCTGCGCTTACTGCAATGACAAACGGTACCAAATGAAGAATCAGAGTAAAGTTCTATTTTTGTCCCATCAAAGGTTATAGTAAAGATTAACTCTTTTTAAAAAACCACGTAAATTCAATAAAATGCTGAAAATTTTAAGAATTATTTGGTACTAGCAAGCCCAGCATTTAAATGTCAAACATGGTTTGACAACAACTGATCCTAGTGTGAAGTGATTGGCTTGGTCACACTATGTTTCATATTCCAGAATAAAGAAACTTTTTTCAACATCAAAAGTGAAATCTAGTCACCAAAAGCCGTCTTGAAAAAAGTTACTGCAAACAGGACAAATATGTGGCTCTATAGCAGCAACATATAATTAGAAGAAAAACTGAATCAGTGTTCATTCAAAAAAAGAACATATCTCATTAAAAAAAAAAAAAAAAAAGTTGCTTTATTTCAGAAAAACGCATAACTTATCTTCTTCCTAATTTAAACAAAAAAAAATAGAAATAATTCATATGCAATTAGCAAAAAAGCTAAAACTGAAAAAAATTTTCGTAACAAAATAATGTATAATTTGGAAAACGTTAGCATGAAATTATTGTCCAAAATTGAACTTATTCTTGAAAAGGAAAAAAAATATGAAAATTTTATGAACTAACACAAATTCCGAGCTTCTTCGAAGCTAATTAATGATGTCAAAGAAGTAAGTGATGTTGATGATTCCCGATTACCCATCGTTTCATCATTTTAAGCATCCATTCATTGCAGTTTTTTTTTTTTTTTTTCCTGGATGAGACAATAAATATAAAATATGCACTAAGTGGTATTATTTTAATATAACATAGTACTGACAATGTTATCAATAAAAACGGATTTATTGACAAAACGAAAAACAACGCAAAACAAATTAATCGTAAATCTCTCCAAAGTGGATTATTACTGTTACTATTATTAGACCACACGACGCGTCATGAAATGTTTAAGATCTCATCAAAATTGCTGGATTGAAAAAAAAACTTTTTTGTTGAAAGAAAAAATATAATAGTTGGAGTATTGCTTGTTACCAAATAAATTAATACGATTACTCATCTTATTCCAATAAAATTTTTTGAAGAAGTTAATATTATTGAAACGAATAGATGAAAATGATGATGGAATATTAAAATTTTTTCAGCATATAATATTTAAAAATAAATATTAACTGACTGATTTAAGATGAAATTTAAAAAGAAAAAGAAATTAAAAGATGCAAAATTACTTATAGACTTGTTAAAATTCTGTAAAATTTTGCAATGCTATATTTTGTTTTACATTTTCCTAACATAATGATACTACTGCTTATTAGCCATTGGGGAACATTATTGTTTGGTTACAAAGTTTTATAACAATTATTCAGAAAAAAAATCGCGAATTTTATAAAAAATTTTCTTGCTAAATTTGCAAACCTTAAACACATAATTTAGACTAAATATTAAATGAGACATTATTTTCGAAATGTTTAAGAAAATTGGGGGAGCATCAATTATTGCTTTGAAAAATTTAAATCAATTAGCGCACAAAAGGAGTAGAACGAAATGAAATATCAAAAATTTTTTATTTATATAATAAAAAAATTAAATATTAATTAAATTAATTAGTGCAGTTTAAGTTTAAGAGCTAGTAATACTAATCTGTCTAATTTTTTTTAGAATAATTGTTTGCTATGTGTGACATGGAATTTGTAATTGTAATAAACTAATTAAGAATTGAATAACATATTGCATGCATAGTCAATCATTCATTTAATATGTGCTATCAGAATTTGCAGAAACAAAATTGTATTTATTTATTGAATATTCCTTAGATAAATGCCCCAATGTCACGCAAGAAATCATTTATCTTTCATGTAGCTAAGTTTATTTGCATTGTTTGTTAACGAAGAATATTCGTTGAAATTGGTTCCGAATTAGATTGTTTACAATTATCAGCTTCTTATTTACAGTTGGTTCCTTACTAACTGCAAATTATATTCGAATTTAACAAGGTTAACAGTTTTTCGTTTAACTGACCTTCTTTCTAGCTCATCAGCTTATTACCCAGATTTGACTGTTGACGAGATTAACAGTTCTTTATTTAGCTGACATTCTTTGTGGCATTGTAAATCGTGTGTGTCTTATTATGAGTTAATGTTTACTATATAAGGAGTTATGCCTTTTATCGAGATTACGTTTTCTGAATATAGTAATCCGGCATGTTCAATATTTCCGACTAAATATAATCTTTATTTCAAAATAAAAATCAGTCAAACGCTGCTTTCTCTGCAATTAACAATTAAATATTAACGATTCAGCTCTACAATCTATTCGAATCCCTATTTCATAACATTGCTGCTGTATTCATAATTTTATTACAAATAGTAATTCAGTAAATGATTATATTAAGATTTAAATGATTGATAGGGAATTTTTAACAAACAAATATTATCAACAAAATTCAAAAGTAAATTTTAATGATAATGATCGGATTAAATGATAAAAGATATCCCTTATGCAAGATAATTTCCCACTTACATGAAAGGATGCATTTTCATCTTATCTCTCTGTGTGTGTATGTGTGTATGCATGTGTGTATGTATGTGTGTGTGTGTGTGTGTGTATGCATGTGTAGTATTAATTATCTATTATTGATGATGTCCGATTGACAACTTTTCATCCATTCTTTTTCCATACTACTCATTGTCGTCGTCTCATTGTTGATGGGAAACTTATTTCATCTTTTGCATTTGCACAATAATTTATAATCTTATAAATCAGCCAGTTAATCAGTTAATTAGTATTTTTCAAAAATTCAGTATCAGTTAGTATCAATTAACTAATTAACTACTTGATTTATTTTCACTTTTATTCTATATCAATGTTTTCGATTTTTTCTTTTAACTTTTTCATCAATTTTATTCTTTGTTTGCAAATATTTTCTTTAGATCAAAATGTTCCTATATATTACACAATTAATTACACTCTTAATTATTAACTTGTTCATGCAAATTAATATGCAAGAATTGCCGCAAAAAATGGAAAAGACATTTGCAAATACTCAATTCGATTTGAATCCTAATTTATTATCCAATAATTACGCTAAGATTACAACTGAATCATTCGGTTTGTCTCAACAAAAAACTCAATCGTTAATTAAGGTTTGCTTTTCATTTTTTCATTTGTTTTTTTCATCTTTTCCGTTTTTTTATATTTCACCAAAAAAAATTTTTTTTATTTATTTACTTTACTGATAAATACATAAAATTTGTAATTTTGAGGTATGATCATTCTTTAAACATAAATGATTTTTAATTATGCAAAGAAATAATTTTTTTTTGAAAAATACGAAATGTTTTAATGATGATTTCCTTTCTTTTTTCTTTCATCTTTTATTTATTGCATATATTTAAAAATTATTTCTTTAAAGTATCTGCCAGTGACATATCAATATAATTTTATTAATTCAATTATTTCATTAAACAATTATTTGCATTATAAGAGTGATGTATTTTGCTCTACTGATGAGCAACATTGATTTTAATAGCAAATGATAAATTTAAAATTATAATTGTTAAATTTTTCTGAAATAATTTGAGTAATTTTTTATCACCAGATAATGCAACCAGCTATAACAACATATTCCCAACAAACAATAACAATTGCGCAGCAATCTATACACCTAAAACCTAAATTATCTAAGCCAAAATTACACCAACAAAATATTCGAATCCTAGCAAATCAAGCTTCATATGCAAAATTCTATTATACTTTTCCCTTTGTCTCATCACAGTCTCTCCAGACCGAATTACAAATTCCTGAAATTTATTTAAATCAACCTCAATCATCTATAGAAATTCAAAAATTACTTGGAACAATAATTATTCAAATGATGTTGCTAATAAAACTTCTCTTCAAGTACATTTAAAACAATTCCCTTTCAGCAAGATAATCCAATATCACAAGTTTCAATTGCAAAGCCATTACCGCAAAATCCTTCACGATTATTGTCATCATCGTTTACTGCGACATTATCGTCATTATTATTATCATCATCATCAACACCATCATCATCAATTCCTATTGCTGCTCCATCTATTGCCTTAGGCAATACCGAATCTCGATCACGAGTTCCGATACGACAAACTTCATCTAATTTGCTATGGTTCAACGATACACTTCCTCCATTTGGTATGATATTTTGTTTTTTTTTTTTTTTTTTTTTTTTTTTTTTTTTAATTTTTTTGTTATTTAATCTAATCCAACTTAAAAATCAAAATAAAATTGTTCAAAAAAAATAGAAAAAAAAAAAAAAAAAAAACTAAAATATATTTTAATATAAAAGAGTATTTTGTTGAAAAATCATTGTTGCAATTTCAATATTTATTAATTTTATTAGAAAGAGGTCTTCAAATTTTTAAATCACAAATCTTTCTACTAAGTTGCATGAATTAAAATTATATTTTTAGGACGTTAAATTTTTGCTGTGAATAATTTTGAAATTTAAATGAAAAAAGAAAGCTGTCATTACCAAAAAATCTTTTAAGTGCAATATATTTTAATATATATTTAATGCTTTTTTTCCATTTTTAATATTTTGGTATTTCAAAAAAAAATTTTTACTATCTCATAACTTTACTCAATTTATCAAACCGCCTGATATCTAAGTATAATTATATCATTCAATAAGCTCATAGTTGACAATGATAATTTATAATAATAATAATAAAATACTTTCGATATGAATACTACTTCAAAATGATTGATATGACAAATAAAATGAATTTTTGTTGTCTTGAAAAATGGTTAAAACCAAGTTTTTATTATTTGATTTCTTTTAATATTCCAATTACAAACGACAGATCAAATGGGATGAAGACAATGAAAAAAATTGGATTAAATTAAAAAGAAACGAAACAGTTTTAATCTAATTTTCTTTCATCTGATTTTTTACAGATAAATGAACAAAAAAAAAAGGTTGGATGAATGAGAAATCTACTTTTTTTATCCACATAAAAAATTTCGGACCATTTGTAAATTTTAAAAAATGATATTTTCATAAACTTTTTTTTCAATTTGTAACTAATTTTTGATTAGTAAAATTAACTCATAGTAATTCAAAACAAAAACATACAAACATCTACACAACGCATCACGTTCCAATCTTAAATTATGTTTAATTACGGTATAGCATCTACAACATTCATAAAAATAATTTGTTTTACCAATTTATTATTTTGTTAATAATTGATTAATTTATTTACTCAACCAACTTTATTCATTTGTCACTAATTTATTTCTTTAATTTTTTAGTTTATTTAAAGATTATTAATTATATCCTCCAATATTTTTAAAGAAGAGAATAAGAGGAGAGAGAGAGATTTTCTTCCTTCCTGACCTATTGATAAGAAGAAATTGTTTGAAATTATTTCAATATTTATTTTTCTCACTGTGATTAATTAATTTATCATTCTTAATTGTTATTTATTTTCATTGTTCAAGTACTTTATCGCATTCTATTCATTTCTTAATGAAAAAATCTCCGAATTATGATTATTAATTTGTTTAATGAAATAATTTAATCCTATAATCCTTTATTTGTCCTTCTCTTTCGAATGTCGTTGGTTACTAAGAATAGTTAGATGATTAATAATCACTAATTAGTGAAACCTATCACTTTATTTATAGAATGAATGTATGGAAAATGGGAAAATAGTAACTGAC